CTTCTCGCTACAAAATTGAACTGTAACTGCTCCAATATTGAATTGATTTTTAAATTGTTTGCGAGCAATAATTTGTGCGAGACTTTAATCAAACTTCAAAAATAGAAGATGATAAATAAATTATTTTAATAATAAAAATGCATGCACATACTTATAAATAAATTGGATTTTTACAGTATTTTTATACCTCTAATTTTATGTGTACACATTTCTAGTAAAATAATTTTGTATAAGGATCAATTAGATTGATGTATAAATATCTCATATAATCTTATATAAATAAATATCTTAATATTTGTAGGTAAATCCTATAGGAGAGGATGGAAACAAATCGATCAAGTTGGCTATCTCTGAGGCAATTCCTATCATTTCCATGGATCCAAGTATGCTTGATGAAAAAGGTTTAAAAAGTAATGCGGCATTATTAGAAAAGGAGAAAGAAGACAAGAACATTCTCAGTACATTACCTGTTGCTTCGGTTAAAGAGCTAGATGGTTATGAGAATCAGCTAGGGGAGGCTGAACCGCTTCCAAATTCTTACATTAGATTCATGGAACGCAGTGGTGAAGAACTCGATGGTAAATAATATTTCATAAATTTTGTGATATTTATGGTAATCGCAGTATAACAGTGTCATAATATTAAAATGTTGCTTATTATTATTACAAAATATATATTACACAATATATAATTTATTATTATATGTACTTAATAATTTTTTATTCTGAAAATTAGTATCAAATCTTTTATTATAAAATATTTCAATTATTATCTTATGTTAAAATCTCACATTAGTATTAAATTCTATTTTTTATGTATTATTTAATACTTTGTTATGATTACATTATTCCAAAAATAATATTATTTTGCTATAGGAGAAGTGGAATATGATCTAGATGAGGAAGACACTGCATGGCTTTCTATTGTGAATGAAAGAAGACTAGCTTCTGGATTAACACCTGCATTGGAACCTGATATATTCGAACTATTGATGGACAGATTAGAAAAGGAGTCATATTTTCAACAACAAAGTAATGGTGGAGGTGGCATTGCTGCGGACGAAGATGCCGTTTGTTGTATCTGTATGGATGGAGAATGTCAAAACAGTAACGCAATCTTGTTTTGCGATATGTGCAATCTTGCTGTTCATCAAGATTGTTATGGCGTACCGTACATACCTGAAGGACAATGGTTGTGTAGAAGGTGTCTGCAGAGTCCATCCAGGGCTGTAGATTGTGTCTTATGTCCGAATAGAGGCGGCGCTTTTAAACAGACCGATCGCCCCGCGACATGGGCACATGTAGTTTGCGCTCTATGGATACCAGAAGTTCGATTTGCCAACACTGTATTTCTAGAGCCTATCGACAGTATAGAGAGTATTCCACAGGCTCGTTGGAAACTTGCATGCTGCGTGTGCAAACGCAGAGGGGCAGGAGCGTGCATTCAATGCCACAAGAGTAACTGCTATGCGGCATTCCATGTAACTTGTGCCCAGCAAGCTGGTCTCTGCATGCGTATGAGAACAGTGCAACCTGCTAATGGTGAACCAATGTTAGTGCAAAAAACAGCTTATTGCGAGGCGCATACACCTGTTGATTATCAACCTTCTACAAATCCCGTGGACGCGAGAAGAAGAGCGATAGCCAACAAAAAGAGCTCATCAGCACCCGTTATTTCTATTCCCACCATACCGCCTGAAAGAATCAGAGAAATAGCTAGGTAATAATAATTACATTTTTATTTCTAGAAGAGAGAGAGAGAGAGAGAGAGAGAGAGAGAGAGAGAGAGAGAGAGAGAGATAGTAAAATGGACATATTATGATTAAACACAAAAATTTACATTTTAATGCAATTATTAATTCTTTATATGTTATTTTGCCTCAATCAGTTTAGCTGAAGGAATACCAAAGAAGAGTCAATTAATACAACGTCTCATCGCTTATTGGACACTGAAGCGGCAATACAGGAATGGTGTCCCGCTTCTTAGAAGACTGCAAAGTTCTCACCCACAATCCAGACCGCCGCCACTTGGCGAACACTCCACTTCGCCAACGCACGATAGTGAATTACGAGAAGAATTGTATCGTCAACTTAAATATTGGCAGTGCTTACGTCAAGACTTAGAACGTGCACGTTTGTTGTGCGAATTAGTACGAAAACGTGAAAATTAAAGAAGGAATTATTCAAAGTGTAAGTATTCGCAACATGCTATTGAAATTGTGCTTGTTATAAATTGCAATCGATGATTAATTTTTAATTAAATAATGAAATAAATTTGCTTTAAAAATTTAATCTTTAAATTTCGGAAAATTTTAAATAATAGGCTTAAAAACTTTAATTTATTTTATATAATTTAATTTAATAATACTGATATAAATATAGAGTTTTCACACAATGAGCATTTACATTATCAAATATGTCATTCTGAAAAAAAATTGATTACAGGAAGGAAAAATGTTTGTGGTTCCAATTGCGGCCATTAGAGAGTGTTTTACGTACATTATTAGAAGCCATAAAAGCGAAAGACGTAAACGATGTATTTGGACAACCAGTCAACACGAAAGAAGTTCCAGATTATCTTGAAATAGTATCGCATCCTATGGATCTCTCTACTATGCAGGTAATTATCAAAATTATTTAATATTACATTTATAGCTATTGGCTATATTTATACCTATTGAATTACTTTCTAAAATATAAATCTATCCCATTAAAAATATAATTTACAATTGTATCAATCATATTTCTTTGTTACAGGCGAAATTAGAGAAACAGGAATACGATTCTATTGCCGCTTTTGAAAGTGACTTTACTTTAATGGTGAACAATTGTTTGGCATATAATCGTAAAGATACCATGTTTTATCGAGCAGGAATGAAAATGAAAGAGCAAGGTGGAGCCTTAATAGATCAAGCTCGCAAAGACTATCCCGAGCTTGATCCAGTTATTGAATCCGAACAGAGTAACTCTAAATCTAGAAAAAGAGAAAGATCTAATCGTAGTCGTGTAGAAACGGAATCGCAATCTAACGAGAAAGAGATAGGCGGAGGTGGTGTAAACAGAAGAACAGCGGTATTATTCACGCGTAAAGCTAGAGCGCGTAATGCTAAAGGCGGGCAAATGTTTCCTCCAGAAGATGACAAGAAGAAACAAAGTGACAGTTTTAAAGTATATAGGTACGTAAATATATATCCCTTACTTTGATGTTATTATCCAGTTAATATTTTTAGGAGTGGAGCAATGGACAGCGATATAGGTGAAGGAGAAAGTCAATCATCCAGTTGCAGTAGTTGTCCCACAAGTAGATCTACTACTCCCGATCCAGAAGAGGAGAAACAACGACAAGAGCTTGTCGACACAAAGAAAGAAAGCGAGAGCAAGCAAACGAGCACCAGTACCGGCTTGGAAGCTCTGCAACTTGTATGGGCTAAGTGTCGCGGATATCCTTGGTATCCAGCTCTAATCATTGATCCTAATACACCCCGGGGCACTATCCATAAAGGAGTACCGATTCCAGCACCTCCTGATGATGTTTTAGCGCTTGCTGACAATTACAAAGAACCGGTCTTTCTTGTACTTTTCTTCGATACAAAGCGCACATGGTAATTATTTTTCATTCTTAATATACAATAATTCAAAACACTATACAGAATGTTTGGTAGTAGTTGTATTTAATGTGCATTCTTAGTAAAAATATGAAAGTTACTTCTAATCAATTAAATAAAAAAAGATTTTGTCAAAATACGTATCAAAAAGGCAAATAGATAATTTTAATTTTAAAAATATTCTTTATAGTTATCAATTTTTTTATAATTTGGAGAAACTTTAACAAAAATTTTTATTTAATTATATAATTTATATATTTATTAAGATATTTAATTAAAAGTCCAAAAGTTTAAAAAAAATAGACATCCACACAATTAAATCTTGAAAAAAATCAATTTTCAATTGTTATATATCTTTTTTAAGGAATGTCTATCAATCTCTTTATTTTTGTCAAATACATTTATTGTCTAATATATCTGTTACAATAAATTGTTAATTGCATGAAGAGATAATCTTGAAATAGAAAAATATATAAACTCTGGGGTTTATATAATTCTAAAAAATTTATAAAATGTATTTATAATTTTTTTTTACATTTCATGAAACAAATATATATATATATACACATTTATATTTATAGTTGTACATATTTAAAAATATTCCATTTAATAATCAAATTTTTCAGGCAATGGCTACCAGGTGAAAAATTAGAAAAACTCGGAGTATCACAGGAAGTGGACGAAGCAAAGTTAATTGAATCACGTAAACCTGCAGATAGAAAAGCTGTTAAGAAAGCTTATCAAGAAGCTTTACATTATCGCAAACAAACTGCTGTATTGGATAGTATCTCAAATGTATAAATCCTGTTCAATGTACAATATAATATAACTAGAATATTATAGCTATATATAATCAAATGTAAATATTCATGTATAGATGTAATTTGAAATTGCATTAATACTTGAGATGTTAATATAATCAATAACATTTTTATATAGAAATCTGTTCAAGATTTTTAAAAAACAATATACACAAATTTTCATGAAAAAAATTAATTTACAAAATTTTGTATATAAAAGATATATTATATTATTTAGATTTAATAAAATAGAAAATATGTTCTTATGAAAACAGATGTTAAATATTAAGACTGTATAGAACATTAATATGTAATTATAATTAAGATAACATTATGACATAATATGACATACTATGTATAATTTTATATAAATAAATTGTTTAGAGTGATGCATAGTTTGCAAAATTTATTTAATTAAATGTATCAAAGTGAAATACTTTTATGAAATATATATTGGAATATTTCTATTGTTCTTGTGATAATTCACTCTTTATACAATTTATATATACAAGATTATAATATAAAATTATAATATATAATCGTGTAAATTTTTCATATAATTTATATACACAAAATTTTATAACAAATACAATGTAAATAAATCTTTAATATTGTGGAAAGATAATTATAGATTCAGAAATTATTTATTAAACAATATTATTCTGTAAATATTCTTCCTAAATCTCATTTCTGCTTTATGAATTCAGCTAGTTCTTTAGCATACATTTCCAGTCTTTGTGTCATCTGAAATTAATATAAAATTTATTTTCTTATTTATATATCATAATTTAAATTTTACAAATTCCTTATAGTATAATAACAATTTTTAATTATTTTTTTATCTGAGATTTATAATATTTTTCGACTAAATATATAAAAATATATATTTTTAATATACTAAATTCTAGTAACTTTCTATATGTAGAGTGTAAGATTGCTACAATATCAAATTATATTAGTATAATTAAATTTATACAGAGAATAAATTACGAAATTTATATTAACACATGATACAGTTAGATGAAAAGTTTATATCCCGTTAGAAAACTCGATAATTTTGTAAATTATCCTACACATGAATTTTATAAAATAAATACTCACTCGGAATCCCCAAATGTCTTTCGTTTGTCGACATAGATTTAGATCCAATTCTCCAATCAAGAGTCCATCTTTATAGCGACTTAAACCTGGAGTTCGCGTACCATCAGGGGCAGTAATATAACTGGAGCCATAGAAATGTCCGAAATCTCGATGTGCTGGTTTTCCATCACCAGATGTAAATTCATGATTGAAAACCTCGGTACCCACGCGATTAATAGCACAAGTATAATAACTGTTCGCTATAGCAGCGCATCTTGCTTCAATTGGCCACAAATGTTCGGATAATCCTTGAACGGTTGCTGATGGATTAAAAACAATCTAAAAAATATAGAATGATTATTTATTATATAATATAATAAATTCTCAATATAATAAATTTTCATATAATAACTTCTGGATAAAGATATCTGAATATTGTATAATTTGTAAAATTATGAATAGCTAAGTATGAATATTTCTGCTTATGAAGCCTGTAGATTATAATTCTTACTTCTGCTCCATTTAAACCAAACATCAACCAGTTCAATGGATGATGACGTCCATAACATATATTAATTGCGATGCGTCCATAAGATGTATCAAAAACTGGATGTCCCGTATTGCCTTCCATATAATAAGTGGATTCGTTAAAATCCCCGATACGGGGAATATGATTCTTCCTATGTTTCCCAAGGACTTTACCATCCGTGTTAATCACTACACAAGTATTCCAGATAGTATCGCCATCAGCAGAGTCCCTTTCTAAAATCGGCGATATAATTACCATGTTGTGCTCTTTAGCAAATTTAGACAGAAATATAGTCGTGGGTCCAGCCTCAGCTTCCTCTGCAAATTCGCACCACGGATACTTTTCTCTTGTACAAAAAGCAAATGGCATAGCTGCAATAATTTCACATATCAATTATTATACAAATTTATATATAGCACTTATGCATATGGTAAAATTATAGTTTTCACTTACGCCATGCTTCTTGAAGACATAAAATTTGAACGTTGAATTGAGCTGCTTTTGTGATATACGATGCAATTTTCTTATGTATCGCATCTCGTTGTTCTATAATAGGCTGTGTTACTGGTAATGCAATCTTATGTTGTACCAGTCCAACACGAACTAAACGTGGAGGACGAAGCTCTTCTACGATCTCGCTTTTCATTATCCAGCCTTGTATTTCAAATTCCTCATCTTCACATTTCTCAATTAATGGTCTGATAACAAAACATAAATATAATATTAATATAATAACATAAATGTATTATCTTAATTTATGCAATAATTAGTAACAAAATAGACTGCACATATTATTATAAATTTAATTTCTACATTTTTTTAAATTTTATAAAAATAATTAATATTTAGAATTTTTTATTATATATCATATCTTTCGTTTTTATAAAACATAGAAATTCTTACAATAATGTACGTCCATATAAAATTCGTTTTACTTCATCTAATTCCTTCTCCGGTACATATTTCTCTAAAATTTCTTCAACTGTTGACTGGTACATGATTTGAACAGTTCTTTTGCTGTCAGCTAATTTGACAAAGTCACCTTGATACTCAGTCTTATAAAGTAGCACTCTGCTGTATTTACAAAAATAAACAAACATTGATAAGAGATTAAACAGTATCAGAGAGAAGACTAAGAAACATCATAAAAACATATGAGAAATTCTAAAATTATATCACATGTTATACATATGTATATATCATATGTTACTAAAAGAAATTATTATTGAAATTTTAAGCAAGATTAGATTATTATAAGAAAATAATTTAATATTAATTAGATCAGATATATGTCAAAATATAATAAATCAGAATAATTAATAATACTTATATGTATGTACACAATAAATATATATATAATTATCAAACATTTGTATCATAGAATAGAATATTCATAAATTTTAAATATTTATAGATTATTATATATTATATATTAGATAACTGCATAATTTTTTAATTCTAATTTATATTACAAATGTTATATATTTGATAGACATGCAGAATGTTGAGTGAATTTTTATGGCAAAATAATAAAAATATATATGCAAATTACATAATGCAGAATCACTCCTTTTTACGTGCTTATCTCAAACAATCTATAAATCAAATCAAGGCCAATGCTCTGATTATATTTAATTGGGATTAAATTTTATCTGCACGTGTAGTGCATTTTCCATGTCAGGGTGTGTTCAAAAATCGAATAAAGTAGTATTTAATCGACCAATCAGAATAAAAGAAAGTTTTGTTCCTTTCTGCCTTTTGATTGGACGAGCAAACTGTCATGTCTTCCGATGAGTAGATTTTCGAATACACTATGATTTATTTGTATGCAGCTTGTGGCTGAAAAATAAATTAGTCCGCAATATAATTATTAGTTATAATTTTTTAACTCAAGGTATAATGCCGTATTTGCTTTATTTTAAATGAAGTATATAATTTATTAAGAGGATTAAAAGTATTTTAAAGGATTCTAAAGATATAACAATATTCTAACCTAAACTGTATATTTTTTTAGGTGCAAATTAACTTTTGCAAGTTGGAAACACATTAAAAAAAAGATATTTATACCTGATAAGTGTAACCAGAATTTATGCCAACAATAAGAATAACAATGATATAATATTTATTGTGCATGCTATTAAATTCTAAAATTGTCTCAAGTCTACTACGTAATACATATTACTTGTATCAAGAATTGTGTCAGAAAATTTTATAATCATGGCTGCGACAAGAGAAAGACGTACAAATGCTGGCAATAAAATGGCAAGATTATTAAATGAGGAGGAGGAAGACGATTTCTACAAAACTACGTACGGTGGTTTTGATGAAGTGGAGCAAGATAATGATTACATGTTTGTAAATCACATTTATATTTATGATACAAAAAGATTTATAACAAACATACATATATATATATATATATGTAAACATTTAAATTTTAGGGAAGAAGATGAAGCAGAAGATGAGGTAGATTCAGATTTTAGTATTGATGAGAATGACGAGCCAGTTTCTGATACCGAACAAGAGGGGCCAAAAAAGAAACGCAGATTGGTAACAAAAGCTTATAAAGAGCCTAAACCTGCTACATTACATACTCAATCTGCACCCAGAGAAAAGAGGATCAGACAGCCAAAACAAGATAAATTTCTAATAGATAGCATAGGTAAGATACATATTTTAACATAAATATTTCTTTCCAAAACATTCAATGTATTATTTTATGCAGAAAGAAAATCAATTCGGCGTTCTACTGCGGCAAAATCAGCAGCAACCCAAAAACGCTTGCGTGAAAGAAATCAAGATCAAAAACGGAAAATAAAAGTTACAAGACATAATATATGGAAACCAACACAGGAAGAATTATTAGAAGAAGCTTTACAAACAGAAGAAATTAACACGAAATCATTAGGTATATACAATAAAATACAAGTATTAAACAATTTTCTTTAAATATTCTCAGAATAAAATTTAAAAATTTTATATCAAAGATTACAAATAATACAATAATTAACAATAGATTGTAATATAATTTTTTTCTAAACAGTTGTGAAATGAAAGAAAGGAAAATATCATATTAAGAATGTCTTTTAAAAAGAAATTATAATGCTATTTATATTATAATATTATTATTATTCTACATCTTGCATTCTATATATTATAGAAAAGTACCAGAAATTAGAAAATGAAAAAAGACTACTAGGTCTGTGAGAAAGACACATATAGGGGCAATGATTAGGTATCAGTCATTATCTATGCCAGTTATGGTGTTATCTGAGACATGTGAGGACGAAAAAATCAATGTTGAATGTGATGATGAGAAAAATGAAAATACAGTATCCAATAACACAGGTTCTGACGGTTCCCAAAAAGAAGGAAGGTATATATATTTTTTATTATTATAGCAAAATTATAAGAATGCATAAAAAGGCAAAGCTTCAAATATTGGATTTCACATTTTATTTCAATTATTTTATTTATCTAATTATATAATTAATAAGAATATTTTATAATTATATAAATTTTATTTTTCAGTGGAACAGAATCGAAAGCAGATGGAAAAGATAAGGAGAAATCTGTAGATGTAATTCCACCTGTTTCTACTAAAGAGAAAAATATTCATGCCGAAGAAACTGGAACATTTTATGAACGCACGTTTATTACTTTTGAAAGCGAACCATCATACTTGGATGTGTTTAAGAAATCCACACAACAAAGACCTCCATTGAAATCTCTTTGTGCAATCACACGGTAAAAAAAACAATTTAAAGATTTTCATATTTAAGATTATTGTACATTCTATCTCTATTATATTTAAACACAAATAAGAGATATTATATCCAAGATTAATATCTTATATTTTATATCTTAAAATTTTTTGTTTAATATATAGATTGCCTGCCAAATATCTGGATCCTATGACACAGTTACCATACAAAAATATACAGACTTTTCGACTGCTTCGAGAAGCATATTATCAACAATTAGAAGCTCGAAATGATCCTAATGATACCTCTCAAAGTCCAGAATTATTGCGATGGCTTGAATGGCGACAGAAGAATCATGCTAATTCACAGAAAAATACTATTCGCCTAGAACCAGCATCTTTAACCACACCTCCATAGTCTTTCTTGCTTAAGTAAGTAATAGTTTGAAATAATAGCCTGCTTTTTGTTATATTCCTAATATTTTAAAGATTTACTATAAATATTTATAAACAAATTAATATTTATGGATATATTCCACACATCTTTCTACATCTTTTGTTAATAAATATTTTAATAAATATTTTGAATATTCCACATTAATGGCTCTGTAAATAATGTAATATCTTTTAAAAATATATGTAGCAAACTGTAATAGTTATACTTTTTGAGAAATCTAAATACAAATAATTTCTATATATATTATAATTATATGATTTAAAAAAAATATTTACACATAATTAAACAATTTTATGTAATTATTCGTATTATAAGAAAAATATTAATTATTAATAATAAGTTATATTTCATAAGTTTTATACTGCTTCTACTGCAACTTCCTATTATATAGTTTGTAAGCTGTAAAATATAGATTATTACAATTGATATAATATATACATATACTTTATTTTTCGTAAGGAGAAGCAATTAGTTTTTAATTATATAGATTTGTTGTGACAATGTAAAAATAATAAATGCACAATTTATAAGTATTTATGGATAGATACACATTAAAAACATTTGTCTTAAAAGCAAATTTGATATTTTATTAATAAAATAACGAAATACACAAGGCATTATTAATAATAATCTATATATTATTGTAGATATAATATCCTTTCTGTATGTATTCAACTGAGAATGAAACAATCTTACAATATTTTAAATCATTTTTCAACTGTATAAATTTATTCTACTTAGTGTATAAAGGAAATTGAAATTCGCTTTCCCTAAGTGTTCTGTAGTTTGTATAGCCTAAGGATAGAATAAATCAAAAATATCTGTAGAAAACTATGGTCACTTTGACATTGCTTATACACATTACAATTCTGAGTTACAGTCCATAATAAAGTAATAAGCCCGCTATATATCAAATAGTAATTATACTTGTGATTATCTTTAAGATTGCTTCGAGAAACAACGTATTATTTCTCTTTTTTTTACAATGGATATATATATGTATATATACATGTATATATATACATATATAAAATTCGCGAGAATATAAATTATATGTACTATAAATTAGATTAAACGCACGCATGATGCTATAATTATCTTTTATTAATCTTGCTTTTCCTCGATAATCTTCCTAAAGATGATTATTATTATATAAGTGGTACAATTTTTTTTAAACCATATCTTTTACATAATCCATCGAGAAATAAACACCTTGATTTGTTAACACTTTTACTCACTCTCTTTATTTTATTTCGGATACAATAAAAGCTCGTATGTGAGATGATAACGTATTACAGTATACATAGAAAGCAATATTTTAAGATTTTGAAAAATGCCTACTATACAGTTTCATTTATAATCGTATTCTTATCCAGTTTTTATTCGATAAGAAGTCTGAGGTGGAAAGCTCCATGTAAAAATAAAGTAATCCCGAAGCATATAGTGCCCAAGAAGCTTATGCAGACTAATATATACCATTATTTACGAAGAGCCGAGAGTGAGCAATGAGAAAGGACATACTGTTTTCGCACTTTGCCTCTTTATTATCACGCTGTGTAAGACCGTTATTTATATAGTGTTTGTTTATTTTCTATGCAGTGCATATGATAAAGTACTTATTCATGATACTTCATTGCATATACGATCATAAACTGTTCACATACTCACGATCACGCTACGCGTTAAGAAGAATCATTTATATATATTTATATATATATATATATATATATATATATATATTTATATATGTATTACAAAGAAGCAGTAATACAACATTTATTTATTATAACATAATTTATATCATGACAGATAGAGAGACAGACAAAGAGAGAGGAAGAGAAAGAGAGTAAAGATGATCTTTTTCGCGGACAAAGATAGATACATTTGTATTCATGCTTATAGCAATTATACAATTTTTTTTTCACGTTTATCCTTACTTGATTAGTTCCACAAATATGTAATGTATACTCTCATATGAATCGATTGGATGTGCTCTCTCTTGTAAAGATGGTAGAATAAAACCTCCTCTAGCATACGAGATTACATGCTTGTGCATATAGTCTTAACTCTTGTTCTGTTATGCATCTGTTATATCTACCATCAGCTAGTACTTCCGCTTTTCCTTCCTCCATTTGAGTGCTTCTGTAAAATAAAATCAAATAATCCTTTATGAAACTAGTATAGTACTAAAACTATATAAATAATAAATGTATTTAAATTTATGAAATGTTTAGTAAATATAACATTTATTAATTAGTTGTTAATTATTAATTGTTTCACGCGATTTTATATAATCTTATTATATATCTGCTTCTAATGAAGATGGCACTAAATAAAATCGTGACATAAATGTATTGAAAATAATATAATCTGTTCCATATAATATAAATAATACTGATCTATATCTGATACATGTAAATAGTAGTGTGTTACTATTGACTCTAATGTGACTCTAATTGACTCATTAACATACCTTTTTTTCATGTTGTTTTCTTCAAACATATTTTAGATGTGTGGGTGTGTTAATATACTTTCTATTCAAGTACAAGTAATCAATCCAAAAAATGTGTATGTATTATATCAATAAGATTATAAATACTCAAGAAATTACAGCTTAGAAAAAAAAATATATATATATATATATATATATATAATTTAGGAAAAATAGTTGAGAGCTTATACAATATATCCAATATTTTATGAGTAATAGCTTCAGGATCCAATTACTAAAGAAATTTTGAGTAGAAAAATTCATGGATTAATCATAAACATTTAATATATTTGTTCAATATTAATTTTCATTAAAATTTCTTCTCTTCACAATTACTAAATAAATTACAAAAGAGAATTAAAATTATTTCATGCTAAAGATTACAATAATTTCTAAAATTAGAAAAACAAAGAAGAATGTTATATATTCATCTATACATCACTAAACATACATGATACTAATAATATCAATGATAGAATATATAATATAAATTACAAAAAATGAAATTAGTTTAATGTGTGTATGTATATATATGTATGTGTATATATATATATATATATATATATATATATATATATATACACATATACATATATAATAGTATAAAAGCCATTTATATTATTCAAAATTTATAATAGTGGACTATATTCTTTATTCTAGATGATTTGTAACGCATTCTCAGTGTAATACATATTTATTAGTGGACATAAATATCATTTGTTTTTTTACTGCTTTGCTAAAAAATCTTGTTACACAGCACTTGATCTAATCATATAAGATATCCAAAAACTATTGGATGTTTCCTTTTCATCAGGGGTACTTTAGCCAATTCAAAATTGATCTTTTCTTTTTTAAAAAAATTATTACAATGTTTTAATTCTTAATATTATATATTTTTTCTCATATTGAAATTCTGTTAAAAACTATTTAATATTATTTATTGAATGATTTCACTACTTATTTGCTTTTTTTGAAATTTGGTCTCTGGAAAAAGTCCTTTACTTTAAATATAATTAGTCGAAAATTATTGCAACATATTTTGCAACAATATCGATTCCAAATTAGTCAAAAGATATGTACATAAAAGGACTCATCAAATAGTTTTGAAACACCCTATATAAATCACATAGTATCTCCTCTGTAATAAATAATTTCAAATATTTTAATTTTCTTACTAAAAAATTAAATGTATAAGATTTTATAATATACATATATAGCAGAAATAGATAAAAAGTATTTTAATTGTTATCAAAATATGGGCTTAACAAGTATATAGAACACAAATTATTGGAATGAAAAGAACGTGATAGAAGTGTCTTTAGCCAGATTTAATTTTGATATATGTTAAAATTAACTCAATTTACAATCAAGTTAACAATTACAATAAACTAACCACAGTGTTTGCTTATATTAAATCTATTCTATCATACAAAATAATCATCCCAAAAATTTTTACTGCATCATAAACGAAATCTTATCTTCGTTAAAAATTAGATATTATTCAACTGTACTTCCGTGATATTCATACTGTATTTGCGTGTACACACATTTTAAGCAACAAGGTGAGTCACTGGCAGCACTGCTTACGCATTCCCTCGGCATTCATCGTTGGTTTGACTTCAATTTGTTCTACGTTCTGTGGCCGGATTGTATCACCTTCAGGTGGGTCTCGTATCTGTTTTTGCGATACGATTCTGTATATTTCTGTAAAAACAAAGAATTGTGTTTAGTTGGTTAAATAATAAAATCATAAGATTACAAAATGCCCGTGTGATTTAATACATATAATAAATATTTCATAATTAACGAATATTTCATTTCTGACAAATAATTTTTCTATGATTTTAACATAAAGTATAATGAATCTATTTAAAATAACAAACAACATTTTTGTGATATATTTTATAATTATAAATTAATGTAAATGTTTATACATTTAAAACTTGAAGAATTTGTGTAGAATTAAATAATTGTGTTAATATGTGAAATTTATGTTGTAAAAATATGGTATAAAATTGTATGAATTATTTCAAGTTTGTCATAAATTTAAAAATTTTTATATATTGCCTGATATATCTCATATAGTAATAAAAATTAGGAAAATTCTATATCCTATGACAAAAGAAAAATATATGTAATAGCACAGACATAGTATTGCTAGATTGAAAGTATATAATTATATAATTATTTTCTGAAAATAGATATTAAAATGTTAAATTAATTATAATATGATCTAAATAACTTTTTTTTTATATTCAACAATCAATTCAATATTTAATTCAATGTATGCTAACTCTATATGATATATGCAAGATATGTATACATCTATATGTGTTATAAACAAAATCCTAAAAAATCTATATTACCTGTTAATATATTTTGAAACGCTGTCTCAACATTAGTAGAATCTAAAGCTGATGTTTCAATGAAAGACAAGCCATTCCTCTCAGCAAACGCCTTAGCCTCGTCAGTTGGAACAGCACGCAGATGCCTTAAATCTGACTTATTTCCCACTAACATGATCACAATATTCTGATCAGCGTGGTCCCGTAATTCTCGTAACCATCTTTCTACATTTTCATACGTCAGATGTTTCGCAATATCGTATACAAGTAGTGCACCGACAGCTCCGCGATAATATCTAATAATTCGAGAAAGATTATATATATAAATATTCATCATGTATATCAAATTTATAAGAAACATCAAGCTAATTGTATATAAAATAAAGTGTCTATTTTCAGCTTTATTATTTTCTCATACTTTTCTAAAGATTGGTAGTTTTTTGAAAAATAAGAGATTATCTAATTACAGAGTTCATCAATATTAAATACAAATAATTTTGACAAACTGTTCCTCTTTTAATGCTATAAATATATAAACAATTTTAATTTATAATTAAGAGTTTATTTAATTAAATTGTTATAAATTTTGTGAGAATTTTAATTTAAAAAATATATTTATAAAAATTTTAATGTGATAATAACAATAAATAATAAGCTATAAAATTCAATATATACAAAAATCAATTTTTAATATTTTATTTAATATTAAAATTAAAAAGTTTTTTATTTTTCTCGGTCTATCAATATTTCTAAAGCAATATGTTAAAATTGACTTTGACACAATTGTATAATAATAATTATATCGTAATATTATGCCATTATTTAAAATATTTTATTGTTGGTATATTATCGTTTCTTTAAATTTTTTTAATGAAACACAGAAAATGAAACTTACGCAGAAGTAATCGCACGATAGCGTTCTTGCCCAGCCGTATCCCAAATTTGAGCTTTAATAGTTTTACCATCTACTTGTATACTGCGCGTTGCAAATTCGACTCCGATAGTAGACTTTGATTCCAAGTTGAATTCATTTCTTGTAAATCGAGATAGAAGATTACTTTTCCCTACTCCAGAATCTCCAATGAGAACAACTGAAAAATACAAAGAGAATTAATTTAACAAATTTAAATATGTTATCAAATATTTATAATTAATCTTATTTAATGATTTAGAAACAGAAAGCATATATTTTTGTGATAATTTTTTAGTTGTAATTATTGAGTAATTATCTTTATAACTTTAAATCATATCAGTATTCATATATAAAAAAATTATTCTTTATTCTTATTAAGAGTACTGTATAAACACAACTGCAATAATTATAATTATTTAAGTAAAGATAATGATATTCGAAATTGTAAAATGTTATATATTATTATAAAAAAAGAGAGAAATAAGTAATCAAGATTAAATTACACAGTACAAAACAAAAAGATTTTATATTATTTTAAAAAAAGTAGCAATTGTCATTTTAATTTAATCATAAGAAAATTATATATAAAATAATTACATTTGTTCAATTGAATAATCATAGTATTATTATAACAAATTATTTAAGATTTAATTTTTTTAAAAATTAAAATCAACATTTAAAATTTTTTACATAATAAATATAAAAATTAAATAACTTTAGAAAGTTAATTGATTTGAGTAAATAATTTTTGGTAAATATACTGCATATCTAATACTTCTTATCTCTAAAACTTTCTGTCATGAGTCAGTAAATCAGTGCCACATCATGATTATGTTATTAATATACATGTGTATGTACGTATTGCTATTTGGTCATCTGTGGGAAATAATGCATGACAAGTAGAGACAAATGATTCCTCTCATTCCACACATGCTCCGAAACAAAAACAGAAACTTAAATGCTTTATATAATACACGCACATAAATGTAATGTCTGTATTTGTGTGTGTGTGTGTGTGTGTGCATATGTGAAGTCAACACTTTCTATTGTGTGAATTCTTAGTAAATGTTTATAAATATAAATAATATGGATTGTATGTGTATATGAAGAATTTATATTTTAATTCTATTGCTTTGCACAAAGAATCTGGAAAAGTTTGTCATGTCATTCCTATTTTTAAATTTTAGTTATTATACAATTAATTATATTATACACAATTATATAATCAATATTTCAAAAATGCTCACAAATAACAAGAAATTTAGTTAACTGAACTACATACATGGTATAACTGTATTTTCTGATCATGACAGTTATAGCTAAATGTACATGATTACATTATATCTTTATTAAGTCAAAGGTCAAGATTGATGAAGCTAATAAAAGTATGGGTCTTCCTATGGAATAGTAAAGTCGAATAGCTAAATAAAAGTCTAATATACCTCGAAAAATAAATTATTTTGAAGAATTGACAAAAAAAAATTAAAAAATAAGAGCAACAGCTGATGAAAGAGAAAGAGTCGACACTAGTGTTTATGATAATTTTTGCTCTTTTTTCTCTCTTTCGTGACTTCTGAAAATGCAGGACTACAGAATGACAAGGTCGACAGAAATTTCATATGTATCGCATATTCACACATACTCACACATACCCACACATAGAGACAAAATCACGGACACGCAATCATGCATCGTGTATATTTGATACACACATGTATACACTCGCCCAATTACATACGTAATGCATAAATCACGGGCGTATCTTTTTTCTCAGCACGAAAGGAGGAGGAATCAAAATCGAGCTAAGGGGAGATCATCGAGAGAAGCTGGCGAAAACGGGGAAGTCGCCTCGCTGACGCCGCGGTGCGAGATATCGCGGGAGAAGTACGATGGGTCATCGTCTCTGATGTCATCAGAGACAACGACAGGATCACCGTTCACGTCCGTGTCAAGTGACGTATGAGCATTTATCACGACGGAAATGGGAACCGATTCGTAACGGAAAGCATTCTCTCAAACGTACGTGCGTAAAGGATTGTATTCGAGGGGGAAGAGTAAGAGAGAGAGAAAGAGAGAGAGGGAGAGACAGAGAAAGAAAGAGAGAGGAAGACAGAAAAGAGACAGCGTAGGAAGGAAAGAACGCGAGATTTACCTTTAAATAAATAATCGTACTCGTCGTCCCGAGTGCCCATCTCGATCGCGACAAGCAACAAGCACCTTTCAACAAGCCAACGTCGGATGTCCCTAGGGTCGTCGGAACCGTACTACCGCTGGCGATGTGTTCAGCTTATATACAAAGAGAGACAGGAGGCCACACGACAGGATAGGAGCCGCCGACTATCCCCCGTAATTTGTTCCCGTGTCCGGCTGTCGCGGCACGCGACTACGGGCAAACGCCGTCGCGCAAAACGATACGAGACGAAAAAAACAGAGGGAAGCCAAGGGCGGTGCGCGGACGGCGAGCAGATCGCTACGGCGATACAATTATTTTCCTTCTTTCAATTCAACTGTACAATATGGCCTCCTTTCTACGCCCCTCCAGACCCGATACGAAGCATGCATGCGCACTGATCCGCGCGTGCGCGGTGCGCGAACTGTCACGCGCATGCGCGACCTGTCATCTGTCACGCGCACGCGCGAATTGTCACCTGTCATCTGTCAAGCGCACGCGCCGCTCGACACGACCTCTCTCGCCCTGTTACGCAATTTACTAGGAGGGTTAGGAAGAGTGTTCGATGACAGATGACAGCCAATTGGGACGAAGAATCTTTTGCCCTTTGAAGGGAAAATAATGAAGGATTCTTTTGGACGCGTTGAATGCCGTGAGTTTTTTATATGGTTTTATTCGTAAATCGAGACGAAAGAGAGATTTCTTCGTCTGATTTTGATCGATCAAACGTTTTGAAATAACTTTCGTAGTTATACCCTTTGATGAAAAATAAAATGCGTTTTTGAAAATAAAATAACAGGTGATAGACAGTATAAGTGATATGACACTTGTTCGACATTAAGCTTTTATAATTGATAATTATATTTTTTACGAATGAAAATAAAATGAAAGGATTTCTTATCGTGCATACTATATTCCCGAAAAAAATTTTGAATTGAAGCGCCTGTCGAGATTACGGATCCCAGCATCCCAGATGGCGTATATCGCGTTCATCTCGTTGGAGAAATTCGAAGTTCGCTATCTTACGCGGGTATGCAAATGAGTACGCTTGTGTCGCGTACGCTGTTTTTTTACGATACTCTGTCAAATCGTTTTCCAAAGTATTCCTGGGAAACGCTGAAATCGATTTATACAGTTATAATTTCACACATAATTCCTGTTATTTGTGTGCGCTTTTTCCGATCGCGTTAATTGCTCCAATAATACGGAAAAATATACAGTAGTTGAGGTCACAAAATTATACAATTAATTATACAATTAAGTTCTAATTAAAATTTTGCAGAAGCCGATAATATAACGATAAATAATAAAAATTAGTGTCTCCCAAAATGTCAGCGCCCGAGACAGCAGTGATTTTTGCAAAGCTAGAAGCTTTAAAGGACATTAGGTATGTTTCATATATAATATCTATTTAGATGTATTTAACATTTATTTACTTGTCATAATATATATATTCTCTTTTTGCACTTCTCCAGATCGAAGACCCTTCAATTGGAGAAACTAAAACAGAGAATAATGCAGGAAGTGGAACAGACAGAACAGGAGGAGAAGTGTTTATTAGAATATAAACAAGAGATGGATTTACTGATGCAAGAGAAAATGGCACATGTAGAAGAGCTGCGTCAGATACATGCAGACATTAATGCGGTAAGCTTATATCATTTATTTTTTTAATAAACAAGACAGAATAAAATTATACAAGGTATAAAACTATATGTAATTTTCTCTTTTTATTGATAACAAAGTTTATATTTTATTAGATGGAATCTGTAATCAAGCAAGCAGAGGAAGCACGTAACAGGGCAAGAGAAACTGCAAAACTGATTCACAATAATGACTATCAGCCTTTGAAACATGACATTGATCGCATGCGTAGAGAAATTTTGGGTTTGGAAAGACTACCAGAGTTATATGAGACTGAATCAGATCTTATCTCCCCAGAGTAAGTATATTAATTAGGCTTAAAGCTATTAAGCTTGCCATTGTGTGAAGAATGCATACTGCCAGCTAATGAATGAAGAGTGAAATTATAGACTGAGCTGAGTCAAACTTTTATTGTGTAGACGGTTTGTTCATAGCTACTTTGAACGGCCAATGCAAAAGGCAGAGTGGAGAGTAGAAGTACGAGGTGACGATTTATTACCGCCGCTCGGACTACATCATCCTGGACATCCAGGCGGCTCGACACCTTTTCTAGCTCCACAACCTCTTCAGGGGCCGAGTAAACCAGAACCTAGACCGCTACCACCAGCCCCGGGGCCTCCAGCTCCAACATTCAGGTACCACTGGTATATCTCGACCCCCTTATTACATTTTTTGTGTATAAGATTAGAAACATATATCTATTATTATTATTTTATTATTATTATCTCTACCGTTTTTTGCAGGCAACAACCACCGCCTATGAAGTCTTGCCTTTCGTGCCATCAACAAATTCACAGAAATGCACCAATTTGTCCACTCTGCAAAGCAAAATCGCGTTCACGTAATCCCAAAAAACCAAAGAAGAAAGATTAATTATAATTAGAAATATTATTTATATGAATAATCTTTATATTATAATCTTTATATCCTTGTATATTTATATGAATAATTCCCTACAATTTGTCTTAAGAAGATACATGTATTAATCATTTTGTAATCCATAGAAACTATGCACTCTTATCATATCGGTAGCATTTATAAGTGCACACTATTTCCCTCCATGAGAGTCTACATCTTTATATATGTCAATTTTTAATGACAGATTTTTTAGGTTTCAAGGTTTTATTATATTCGTTAAGAACATATAAAAAGAAATGTAAGAATAAATAATAGCTAAATATATAATTTCTACTACTACAATAGAAAAATAAAAATTTAACATTTGACAACATTGATTCGTTTTGTTTATCTTATTATATTTATCTTTATATAAATATTTTATCAGTACGTTATATTATTAAGGAATTGTAAAAAAGATTGAAAGATTTTTACTTAAATTTTTTTTAATTTAATAGTAAAATTATGGTCAAATCAGAGCAAAATGCAAATATTATAATTTTATATTTTATTTTGAATATGATAACATAAAATATATACATATAATTATAAGTACAACATATATTTTCATTTGTCAATTATTAAGTATATTCAAATTGCATTTTCTATTTCATTATTAAATCAAATAACCATAAAAATATACTTCTACATAATTTCAATATATTGTAAATATGAATCATTGCTTGAATCATATTTATAATTTTTAATTGCATTTTGAATGAAAAATTATTCTTTTCTATTTCTTTTATATTTTACAAATATTTGTTGCAATTTTCTATTGCACAATATATTTTTGGCCAACAATATATCTTGTAACTTTATATGTGAATTATTCTTCTTTTAATTCTTTATGTTATTGTCTTTTGAGATTTACTTTAAAAAATTAATACAATAATAATAGTATCACTTAGAAACTATGTGTTTTTAAATTAATATAATACTAAATTTGATTAAATTTCTATTCAGTAGATCAGTGCTTTTCGAATTACACGAAAAAGCAAACTATCTTTTTACATTCTTGCATTGATTTATGTTGCATTTACATTATATAATAAAGTATGCAAGTATGGCAAATCTTACAATAATCTAATAAACATTCCAACATTTAACTATATTTGAGCGTGAGTGATTATTATTATGTATTAATTGTTATGTATTAGTAATAATAAAAACATTTTAAAAATTATTTGATTATCAAATCATGTGTAGGCATTCACTTAACACAATACAAATAATAAAATATAAATTTCATATCACATGATAATGTTAACATTACAGCCTAACAAATTTGTACATAATATTACCCGCAGTTCTCATACAATACACACAATAGCGCTCTTTATATGTGCTATTCTTATATGAATTTGTACTTATTAAAGTCCTTTACAGAAACAATATTTTAAATAGTTTTTACGAAAAGAATAAAAAACCAAAAGTCCTCAGAATATATTTTGTTATAAAAATTTTTTCTTTTTTTTTGTAATGAATAAAACAGTAACTTGTGTGTGTGTGTTAATAGGATTAAAATTCTTGTATATAAAAATTGCAAAATTTGTGCCAGAATTTATCTCTATTATACTATTACTATTTTCTCAATAGAACGTTTATAAACTAATGTTAATATAAATGTATCATATTGTTTTAAAGTTATAACTCTATTCAGGGAAGAATAGTTCACAAATGCCATTATTAGCATTGTTTGTGCTATGCCTCTATTGTCTTCGTAATCTAAGCTTGAGTAGCATCTAATATCACATTGAAATATGACATTATTCAAACAAAATTTATTATATAAAAAAATTCGATGAGATATAGATAAATCGTAATATTAAAAAATTTTGAGTATTATAGATTTTCTCTTATCAATTATTATTGATCTCTAACAATTTAGAATAGAGGCATTTATTCTTAACTATATGTAGCAAAATTTGTAACATTGTATATAAAATATTTATGCAAAGATTGTATAACAGTAATTTGTATATGTTCATAAAAAATATATATCAATTTGTTTGTGCGCATCTCTATCGGAATAACATTTGTTGATCTTTATGTACAATATGTTGGCAGTTGATATATTGTATTCGCAGAGATGTTTTACTTCAACCTCATTATTATCTTTATACTTTATCGCAATCGCAATCTAACGTTTCGTTGAACTTTACAGCGATGTTTTCACGCGATGTTTGAGTATTATCAGATCTTAAGTGAACTAATGGAATTTCGACGTCTTTTCCTTGCCCATTCGGCACTCTATCAACGTGTTTTTTCGCCTCTGGTGGAATCAGACGTTCACTTACACATTGCAACCACAACATAGAAATAAGCAACATTATACCAGTAATGCCGAAAGTGTAATACGTGCCCAAACGAGTATAAATGAGGCCTACAAATACCGGGCCTAAAACACGAGACGCACAACCCGAACCTGTCATTAAACCCATCCATACTCCTTGCGGTCGTGGACCGAGTATCTTGCTAAATATCGTTTGTATCAAAGTAACTCCCAGAGGATAACCGATGGATGTAAAGCCATAACCGATAAAAAATTGAGTAATCGTCATTTGTGGAGTATATAAGCACCATTCTTGAGTAATTGGACATCCTAAGATTTCTGTACCATTGATGTCCTTTGTGATGTTATTGTATGCTACAAAATATTCCAACACAATTCTTATTACAAATCTATATATATATATATATATATATATATATATATATATATATATATATATATTATTATAATATAATGTGCATAAATGAAAATCAGACATAAATATAGTTTGAAGTATACACTTACGTCCAAAATCTGCAATTTGGGGAAGATCGGGACCCCAAGGAATACACAATACTCGCCCAATCACCATAAAAAGAATCCACCCCACAACATTACTTTACGTTCTTCAAATCTATCAAAAATATATTATTATTTGATGTCACACGAATACAATATAAATTACGTGATACTGTCTATATATATATATATATGTCTAGCAATTTTAAATTTCATTTTATACATGTATTTACCTTTTACAAAGTGGTGCAATCATGGCAAATGTAACACAAGCAATTATAGCACCAACACTCATCAATATTCCCATATAATATAATGCTTCCTTTTTAGACCAAGCAAATTGATCCATAGTGAGAGAAGTACCAAGCCTACACAAAAAACATGTCAATTAAAATTTTTTACTTGGCAAAAGTTTTAATTTACTGTTTAAATTTAAATATTATTTTGCAGTAAATATTAAACTTTTAAAATTTTGATTGTCTCTATAAACAAAAGTTTATATAGTTTTCCAGAGAAAAAAAGATGTATACATATTATGTGTGTACGTGAATGTGAATATATAATGCATATATATTTTTCCAAATTTCCTCCAATTGTTCTTAATTGTTTCAAATCTAAAAAAAATGTACTTACGTCTCAAGAAGAACAAAATTAAAAACCAAAACAAAGAATGCACAAATTAAAGTCCATGATGCTAAATAGTCAGGTTTTATAGCCTTCCAAGTCTCTTTTTCTATAAATATAATAAAGTCTATGATATAAATATCCACATCAATACTATAGAAAATTGAAATAAAAAATTATGGAAGATAAAAGATTTAATTTTATTTAAAAATTGAATAAAATTAATTCATTATAATTAATCTTTGTTATATAATGCATACAAAATTAGAGAGTTGTGAGTTTGTGTTATATAATGCACACAAAAATTTGAGAGTTAATATTGTAATAGAAATAATATAAATTTATCACACACATACCTGTAGCTTTACCTTCATTACGCATAGCTTCTTTTATAGCAATTTTATATTCTTTGAAACTCCATGGAAGGAAAAATATAAAATTGAAAATTCCCATTATTACATTAATCCAACCAGCTGCCGTGTACATATTTACAGGCAGCATCATTAATGTTACACCATGATCTCCGAGAGGTGTTACAGCAGCTTGTAATGCAGGACCCACCACAAAACCTAACACCTACAAAATATTTCATTGTCATTCATACATAATAAATTATTAATATAAATTATACAATTGTCATCTGTATAAAAACTACTTTTAACAAAATCATATATTTATCAAAATAATTATAAAAATAAATAACTATAATAAAAAGTTAAAATAAATTTTTTATCTGTATATTATATATTCTGTTACAAAAGTATGAGAAAAAATTACCTGTGCAAGAGATACCATAGAAACTGCTTGTGTACGTTCTGAAAGTTTTGTGGCTGCAGATAAATAAGATCTTGCTACAGCAATATTAGCTGCAAGAATATATGTTTGCAATTAATTAATAAGCGAAATATACAAATATACTAATGCAATTTAAAAATTTGAAAGATTATTAACCAGAACTAACTCCAACAAAGAATCTGGCAGTAATCATATAACTTTTTTTATCACCAGGTATCACTTCAAGGATGCTGTAAGCTGCTGATGCGATAGTAAACAGCGCTAAGGTTACTAAAAGTGGTAATCTTACTGATCCTCTTTTATTGCCCCACCAACCCATCAGAGGTGAAAACAGCATTTGTCCTAATGGATTAGCCGCTACTACGTAACCCATAAATTCTTTTCCTGCCGTTGGATCCAACTAAAATACAAACATACATCAAAATATATATATATATATAGCATGTTATTTTTTATCAATACATTATCTTGTATATACAATGCATACATACCTTGTCTAAATATGGCCAAACACCAGTAAGTATAATACTGAAGCCAAGTGACATTAGAAACATAGTAAAATAAATTATGCGAATACTTTTCCATCGTTCTTTTCTTTCAAGTTCAGTCTCTAAATCATCAAGAGGAGGTTGAGTGCGCCTAAAAGTTTCACAATATAATTATTTGCATCTATTTGCATATGCATCTATGAAATTTTCTTCAATTAATATCAAGGTACTCTGTTTTCATAAAATTCAAATTTAAAATTCTTAGTATCAATGCATGGAGCAAAATATTGCTAATTTTATTTTCATGCAGAAATTGAACAAAAAATATATTGTTAACGCTAATATAATGATATGCAAGACATTCTGTATATATCTTTAATAATAAAAATTCAAAAATTTTAATATTTATATATATCTATAAAATATGTATAATTTAAATATATGTATTTTACCTTCTCTTAAAAAACTTCTTACACTGATCCATTAAGTGTTTCACGCTGTCCTATCTCCCATTTAAAAGATGGAAAACTTCTAGTACAAATTTCTTGGAAGAGTATAAATTTTAATATCTTTGCAAAATTTTAACATATATATAAATAACATCAACCTATTGTAAACAAAAAGCTATATTTAATTTTACATTCATATATTTAGTTCTCCTTAATATAATGATAATTATGTATACACATATAATAAGAATTGTAAAACTATGTTTTAAAGTAGAAACAATTTCATATAAAAACTGTATTTCTCTTTAATTTATATATATATATATAATTTTTATATATGTATAAAAAATCAATATATTCATGAGAGATTATAAGATAAAAATACTGTAATATAATTACTGCACCAAAATTTACATATTTAATTTATGTAGTAAAAACGTTTCAATATGAAATTTTATTGACAAAAAAAAGATTTCACTACATTAATATACAATTTAGAGAATTAATTTAAATATATTATTAATATTAAGAAGATTTAATGAGGAAATATCATAATATATATAATAATTCACATATTTAAATATTTCACACTATCTATTTAAAATAGAATAATTTTGTAAATACTACATATATTTCTGGTAAAAAAATCTGATAAGAATGTGTCTATATATATAACTGTACAAATATTCATCAAATTTTACTTTCTAATTTAATCTATATTTCTGTATCCCTTTATATATTTACACAATATTATTTTATAGTCTGATCTAACATATGTATTTTATTTATTAACACTGTTTCGAGTGTTCTCTTATATATCAAAAATACATCACCTTTTCCAAACGTCGTTTCACTAACTTAAGAATTCTGATGGCACAACTTTATTAAAGCAATCTCTTGTCAAATCTGCAAGGCTAACTTCTTGTTTCTTTTTTTCTCGTTCTCATAAATCACGGTTATTTTTAGCTATTCTCAGTGAATAGGTCATTGAACCACTTTCCTTTTTAATATGATATAAAAACGAACGAAACTGGCTTGCTGACTCAACAAAAAGGAAAAAAAAACATGACATTCAACAGCTGATTCTGCGAAAGATCTAGATCACGTTCCATATGACAAAATCGATAAGATGCATATTGCATCTTTTTTTCGTATCTTGCGTGTCCTATCTAGAAAATAAAGTTTCACGGTTTGTCCAAAAAAGATTTCTCGAAGAACTGCACAAAAGCATCGATATAGGAGCAAAGTTCGTCACAATTATTTCTCCACATTTTTTAATATAAATGTACTTTGGACTTTGAACTGTAATTGTCTCTCTCTCTCTCTCTCTCTCACTCTCTTTCTCTCTCTCTCTCTTTATTCTTCTACGAGAAAACAATTATGACAATGTAGATTCTTCTAATTAGAATTCATCAATTTTATTTTTTTTCTCCTCGAAGCACTTTCACTTGAAACTTGAAATACAAACAATATAGAAACATGCAATAATAATCTGGTGTGTCAGAATTGCCACTATTGAAATTCAAAATTTTAGATTCCGGGAAAAATAACTAACAAAAAATAAGGTTAGGTAATCCTGAGCACGAACTGTATGTTGTTAACCTATACGAATTATTTATTATCCAGAGTTTAAAATAGAATATTTTTATTTTCGCAATTATCTCGTTGAATATGTTGATCCTAAACGCGATTCATCGAATAGGAGCATTGGCGCGAACGAATTTAACCCATAAAGTAAGTACTTTGCGAAATAATTATTAGAAGGCATGTTATTTAAACCAATATCTTTTATAGATATAAATTATTTGTAGCTCAATTCGACGAGATCCATTACTTCCTCGTTTCCGCGCTATTCCAATAGTACGGAAGAAGAAATTGCGACTGAAGAGAATTCGACTGCAGATGAAGCTGCCAAGGTTCCACACAGACTAAAAGTTTCAGTGGAGACAAGCATCAAATATATGGATAGTGATGGTAAGAAATCATCAATTAGTTATTACAGACCCTCATTAAAATATGATTAAAGTATAAAATATAATAATATATGATTACTACAAACTTATGACATAAAACGAAATCTAGCTTATAAACAGACTTATGGTGATAACCCAGTGTGGAAATTATATAGAAGAAATCACAAAGGGCAGCTGGCACCTAGAAAAACACGAAGAACTTGTATAGTATGTGTGCAAACCTCTGCTATATATTGTATATGATAAAAGTGATATGATCCTCCTAATAATTGTAATATTTAATTTTATAATTTAGAGACATGGTGTAATATCTACTGGAAATCCCTGTCCTATATGTAGGGATGAATATCTTGTACTAGATCATAAAATGTCAAATTGCTTGAACAATTTATCAACAAGTATAATGGAGAAACCCTAAGTTACTCGTAAGTAATATTTCAATTTTATCAATATTTTATATATTATAAATGTACTAAAATATCTTTGAATATATATATATATATATATATATATATTATTTATTTATTAAATGTAAATATATTAAAATTTTATATTATATATATATGTATATTTAATTATGAAAATTTTGTTTATAGGCAGACAGGTATCTGCCAAAGGAAACACAAAGAACTCCTAGTTGCATTAGTCAGGGCAAAGGATTATGGAACTATTACATTCGATGTTCCTATAAGACAATACAATTATTCAGAGTGGAGATCAGAAGAAAAATAATTGATTGACATACATATATACATGCTCTATTAAATATGGATAAATTCGAAAAATATACAGGGAAAAAATAGAATCCACCTTTGTTATAGTAGGAGGTGGTATAGCTGGAGTATCCTGTGCCGAAGGATTGAGTCTTCTCGCTCCAGAAGAAAGTGTAATTTTAATTACTGCTAGTCCTTTGATAAAAGCCGTGACAAATATAGTTCCACTAGGCAAAACATTAATGCATTTTGATGTAGAAGAGAAAAGCGCAACAGTCTTGGATGAAAAACATAAAATGTTACAAGTTATTCATGATATTGTTGTCAGAATTGATACTGTTGAAAAATTAATAGAAATTAGCAATGGAACAATCATAAGTTTCAAAATGTTGTGTCTTTGTACCGGCGCGAAACCAAAATTGATAGCAGAAAACAATAATCTTATTGTAGGTATTCGTGACACGGAATCTGTACTACAGTTCTCTCATAAACTTAAAAATGCCAAAAGAGTCATAATTGTTGGTAATGGAGGAATTGCTACCGAAATTGTACATGAGATTAAAGGCGTAGAAAAGATTTGGGTAATTAAAGATAAACACATTTCCGCAACTTTTGTCGATCCAGGAGCTGCCGAATTTTTTTTGAACAAAATTTATTCCAAATCTGATACGCCGGAAAACGAAGATAGACCAACCAAAAGAATGCGATATGTAGTGTCAGACACCACATCAATTAAAGATGGAGCTGCTCTTGGTCCAGATTGGCACAACAGTTTTGACATGAGTGGAACATTTTTTACATCATCAAATGTAAATGTCGAGTATGAATGTGAGATATCAAAACTACTTACTCCCGACGAGCAAAAGCAGCTTAATTCTACAGAAAAATGGCCAATCTATGCACAACTAACAAATGGTAAAATTATTGGATGTGACCTTATTATCTCAGCAACAGGTGTTATTCCAAATTCCGATATATGTGGATTGGAAGATCTCAAAAGAGGAGAGGACAACGGATTATTAGTAGACTGGAAATTAGAAACTTCAGAGAAGGATATCTATGCTGCTGGAGATGTTTGTACTGCGGATTGGCAAAAAGCGAAACATTGGTTTCAGATGAGACTTTGGACGCAGGCTCATCAAATGGGTTGTTACGTTGCAAAGTCGATGGTCTCGAATTTAAAAAACGAAGAATTCTTACAAGACTTCTGCTTTGAGCTCTTCACTCATGTGACAAAATTTTTCAGTTACAAAGTCGTCTTACTCGGCTTGTACAATGGACAAACTTTAGGAAATAATTATGAAATACTTCTGCGAATCACTAAAGATCAAGAATATGTTAAAATTATTCTAGAACACGGCAAAATGCAAGGCGCAGTACTCATCGGGGAAACAGATTTAGAGGAAATGTGTGAAAATTTGATTCTTAATCAGTTAGACCTAAGTATGTATGGAGAAGATTTGTTAAATCCTAACATCGACATTGAAGATTATTTTGATTAATATACTATTAATTTTTTTTGTTAACATATTTGTCTGTATTAATTCAACTTCAGCTTATTACTGTAATAAAACAACACAATTAACTCAACTATGCATATGTTTGAGCACCAGTTTTAAATCATTTGATTTATAAAGATTTATTGTCATTTTCTTAGCACATAAATATAGATAACTTTACAAAATTTTCACAATCTCTTTTTACATGTACAGTTTTATAGGAGCTTATGAATTTGTAAAATATCAACCTCAATTATGAATTTTAATCTATTTCCATGGAAAATAAATTTTATATTAGTAGAAATCAGTCTTAAATTTAAATATAAGATCAAAATTGTGAGAATAAAGGCAAGAGCCGCAGCAGGATTTTCGTGCTGTATATGGTTATTTATTAAAAGACAAAATTAGACGTTTCGGTTTATATTAGACTATCTTCAGTGTACAAGTATCTAGTTTAAAATAACAGCTTAAAATTGAGTCATCGTATTGAAAATAATATAACAAAAAATACGTGCGATTTTTTATACTAGCGACATACAGATGTGATTAATTAAAATAATTTTTTGCAATATACAGTATAGTATACTACAATATAATACAGTACAATATACAGCAATTTTTGTAATATACAGCACAATAATCCTGCTGTGGCTCTTTGCCCTTATTCTCACAATTTTTATTTTAATTCGTTAGAGCCTTCTACTAGTTATTAAATATAAGAATTCAAAAGTTATGTTTTAATTATTGGCAATTCATGTATCATTAACCAGACTTACATACACAATATACAATTCATATAATATTCATAAGTTATAAGATATATATTTTTAAAAAATCAATATAGTAAAAGAGGCCAGCATAACGAGCACCAAATAGAATGTTAGAATCAGAAATTTATTTAATATATTCAGCAAGCATTGCTAAACCGAAAAATAATTAATTAAATAATCTCACTTCCAACTATATTAAACTTTTCTTTAAGCTATTTAAATTCTATAGTTTTTTTTAAAATAATGTGAAATCAGCGTCAAGAAATTTAAAATGCATACCGTTATTAATCATTTCTCGCAAAGAAACGAAGAAATCTCACGGGATTTTATAGCTTAAGAGGGATCTCTACACAGTAGGATTCATGGACGAAACATCAGATATGACACATTGCGACACGTGACACATTTCTAACATTATTAATTCGATATGATATTAATGTAATACAATAGTGGTTAAGATATGACTTGATAATTTATGTAACACTGAAGAAGACTGCGTGCAGTTGAAATGTCTAATTTTTTTATGTAAGATTTTGTAAATTTACGGTTTATCCGATTCGATTGATATATTTTTTCGGTTTAGCAATGCTTGCTGAATATATTAAATAAATTTCTGATTCTAACATTCTATTTTGTGCTCGTTATGCTGGCCTCTTTTACTATATTGATTGTTTCAACAATATACGAGCGAATATTAAATTTATGTTAATTATCTATTTTTACTTAAATTATATTCATAAAATATGTAATTAATAATGTCTTTGTTGTAGCTTAGTATTTTGTTACTAAGTCTCTTAATTAGGTTACATAAAATAAAATCATTTTATGATGCAAGCAAAATAAAAAATTAAATAAAATTAATAAAATAATAAAATAGGAAAAAACTAAAGGCGTTTTTTAATAAATTTAAAACTTATTAGAAGATATCAATTAAATAAGTCAGAAGTCTAAATCTGTGAATATGTATCATATGCAGTATTATAATTACAATAAGATATTTTTGAGATAATAGCTGAAGATTTATTTTAAAATAATCATTATTTTAAACAGCTATTGCTTATTTTAGCAAACTCATTGATTTGATTTTATCAATAAACCTCACGTTTTTCCGGCATTTTCAGTTTTTACATCTGATACAATACTCTTCCGCATGCTAGATTTCTTTGGTGACATATTATGATTTAAAGAATTTTTGACATCACTTTTTACAGTTAATGCTTCATCTACGTCGTTATTATTAACATTACCTGGGGAAACTGTATCTTCTCTCTTGCATTGGTTTACATCCTTATTTTGGAAGATTGTCTTTATATCATTTGTTACATCGATGACAGTGTTATTGGCGCTGTTCATCGAACTTGTGCTCGTATCTTCACATTCACTTACATCTTTATTCTGGAAGATACTTTTTAAAGTTTCAATAATATCTTGCATCTTGATTAACGATTCGACAATTGGCTTAGTATTATGATCCTGATATTGACACAGCTTGTTCAAAGTCTTTGTGGCAACTTCAATTTGAGTAAGACACGCATTTACATCCTCCTGTTGATCGTGTGTTATAGAAGTTTGATCATTTAAAGTCGGTTCCAATATCGATGCATCCATGGAAAGTTGATGAATGCTCTCGTTCAGTTGCTTTTTTACGGGTGTCATATTTATCGAAATTCGACTATTGTTCAAAGAGTCTTCGAAAACTTCTGTGGTGTCATAAAACTCCCAATTACAAGGCAAATCTCGTAGTTCCTTTATAGAGTCTTCTATATCACAGGTTCTCAAGCGATGGACCCAATCTAAAAAGTCCATTGGTTGCCATAATGTCTCCATCGTACGGATTTATCACGAACGCGAATCACTGGCTGCAAATTCTTTTTTACTATTATTTGCTGTTGTTCAAATTCCTAGTAACAGAAAATAGCATAATAAAGATTTTTGAAGAAACAGTTTAAACAATCGTGTATATGCACAAGCTTTTATATATAATATTATATAATAATATTATCCTCCATTAAAAAGAATTTAGAATAAATATGAATATTTATCTAAATTTTATTGCATAATTTTCTAAAGAAAATAATTTTAAATATAAAAATATTAACATGCTTCTAAATCTTCCTGTAAAATATACAATTTCTGTATAAACAATTTTTTACAAGCTGCGATTTAAATATATTGCTATAATGTTAAAATATATCTTTGCTGTATTGTATAATTATTATCAAAATTGGTTATAACAGTAATATTAAATTATTAATTTATTATTATTATATATTATATTATTTACTGAATACTTGCATAATGTGTATATAAAATTATTGTGAAATAACTCACATAATTAAATCCACCTTCTTTACATCGCTGAGTTGCTTCCTTAACGAGTATTTGCATTTCATGCAAACTGATGCCACCGGCGGTTATTTGTTTTTCATTAAATTTCGTCTTTAGCACACTCTCGATATCGGCAGTTCTCTCGTTCAGAATATTCTCCAATTCTTGAAGAAAGTTTGATTTATATGGAGATAATTTCGTGTGACTTTGCTCCAGTTGTATCTTCTTGATCTTATTGTTAGTTTCCATCTCTGTGACAAGTAATTCTTTTTCCAATTCCAGTTCCTTCTTTCTACGATTAATTTGTTCGAGTGCATGTTTTTGCTCCTCGAGAGTAGTACCAAGAATTTCGATCTTATGCTCATATGCTGATTTTTGCGAGCCAAGTTGCAATTCCACTTCACGTTTGGCATTCTCCAATTCCTTTATCGCTTTTTGTTTCGATTCCTCCAGTTCTGCTCTTAATCTATATAAAAGAAAATTGCTACGTAAAAATGTTGATATACGTTCTAATTAGTTAATTCAATTGAAATTTTATATCGAAAAAATCTTTCTACTTTTATTTTAACGAGCAATAATATATATATATATATATACCTTTCTTCCTGTACTCGAAGAATTTCTTGATATGCAAATTCAAAGTCTATCGCTTGTGTAGAAAGCTTGACATTGCAAAGCTCATCATAGGGATTTATGACTTTGAAATAATGATTACCACCAATGACTAAGCGATCGCCGTGTTTAAGCATTATTTTTCCAGTTATTATCTAAAAAATAATGGAAATATTTTCATCAAATTGCTTTCATAATAAAAGCAATTATTAACAATATATTATTCATCATCATTACCTGTCCATTTACATACGTGTCTCCGTCCATCTCAGGTGTTAAGATTAATTTTCCACCTTTATTTTCGATGGAGCTAAAAAGGAAAAAAATATAGTGTACATGTGCAATTAATAAATAATATATAAGATGACATGGGAAAGAATTATAAATGTTAATCGTGCATGTTAATAAGAATTTATAATATTCAATAGCAGCTAAAATAAATATGGTATCTGTTTCAATAAATATTCAATTTTTTTGACCAAGTGCATAAATTCATTTTAACATAAGCCGTAACTCGTCTTGTATTTATTAGCACAATAAAATAAGTACAATTTAAATATTATACTGTAAGTCTGCTCCAACTTATTCGGATTCCAATTTATTCAGTGACTTTGCGAATTCCTAATATATCCTGTATAATGTAACATAATTGCCAATGGTAAAACATGGCACAATATACATATAATTATAAAGAAGATATATAAATATTATATAAAAAAATCGAGAACGCTTTTATAGAATAACAAAAAATATAGAATTTGTTTCGTACCTGTGCCAGAGTTCATCTAATTAATAAAATAATTTGTGCAAGTTAATAATTATTAATAATTGTTACTTACATCTTCATTAATTATATAATAGTACATTATACATGCATTAGGATTAAAAACAGTGATAAAAAAACATTAAAGTGCTGATAAAAGCATATAGCTTCAAAAAATTCTTGAAATTGATTAGCATAATTTATAAAAGCTGTAAAGAAATGTAAGAATTATCTTTATATTACAATATATGTATAGCAAAATATAGAGTAATGAACAGTTTTCAATTTTGACACTGGCATAAATTTCTCTGTGAAATTTGTGATTCTACTGATAATTATTAAAAATATAAGATTGAAAAATTTGTCAAATGGCTTTTAGGAACGCATTAACAGAAATGTGATTAATTATATAAAAATAAAATATTCGAAAATATAGTTTTAAAAAATTCAATTTCACATTTTTTAGAAAAAAATAATTCCAAGAACTTTTGAAGTTATTAGATGAAGATTGTGGATGGAGGAAATATATTCACACGACACATCCGAAATATATTTGACAAAAGAAAAAAAGTCAGCATCCATAAATCCATATTAAAAAAATATCTCCTCTATCTCGCTAATTCTCCCTTTTCCTCGAATTCAAGCATGAAACAGAAACAAGCACACACAGTCTTTGACTAACCAGTGCAATTCCCTAACACAGAGGTCCATCCAATATGATATCCAGCTTTCTGAGAATAGTTTCGGGTCCGCTACTTTTCCCAACACGAACCAAACCTGGAGGTATGAGATACAAAAGCGTACCGGATAACATAGGATCGGCCGCGAGATTTACAAGACAAGGCTGTTTATCTTTTTCATGGAAATCAATCTCGATGGCGATTCCACAACGACGCAAATATTTAAGCTCCGAACTTTTTTTTTCCTCGGCTTTCTGGAATTTTTCACGCCAACTCCTGGAATTACACGTGCCTTAACGATTAAGTCTTACCGAATTACTACGCATATGCTTCCACGACAATAATTAGCTTCATTTATAAATACACATAAATCCTGAAACTTTGACAAATTTTATTACAAAGGATAAAACTGAATTATTTAACTTTCGGTTCTTCGACAAAATACTTAACATCATGATACATGTATCTATAACAGAGGGGAGTCTCCTACATTTTAAAATTATATCTTACAATTACACGAAATTATTCTAGTTAACTTTTCTTCTAACAATCAATTAAAAATAATTCTTTTAATATATATATATATATATATATATATATAGTTCATAATATTATTTCATAATCATTTTATATTTTTTTATATATAAAATATCTAATTGTTTCACTTACATTTGAGTCGTAGCCAATTGTTCTTCTGTTTTCTTCAACTGATCTTTCAATTTATCAATTTCCTTTTGCTTTTTCTTAACTTCCCCAGATTGATGCACTGATTCCATGGAATCAAGCAATCGGCGAGGTATAACTCCAAGTTGCTTCTCATATCCCTCTCGTACCCCGCGTAAACGTAGAACTTCAGCTTTTAATTCACTATTCAAATAAATTAAGCTATTATATATATTTGCATTTTTTATTCAAATAGATAGCAATATTAAAATTTTAATTCTTTTTAAATCTATATTTTTCTTCGTATTCGAGCGATTTTTACATTTATGTCAGTTTGTAATGCTGACAAATATGAAGTTTGTTAAAAATTGTAATTTAAGGAATATTTTACCGAATTAAACGATCATGTGGATCCTCGTTGATACGGATTCGGTTGACTATGGCTCTGGCCTGGCATGCATATCGAAGAGTCGCTAAAGTTTCTTCTACGTGAATATTGACTGGTGATACCGTTCCCAACATCGCTGTCCGTGAATTTCCTCCTAGACTCTCCTATAGAAATATTAATATTTTAAAAATATGTATATTTTTTATACCTCTTTCAACTTTTTCTCACAAAAAATCGTTGTGTAGAAATATATAAATAATCAAATCTTTTCACAGTGAGAAAAACATATAAGTACTGTTTGCAACATCCTTTCTTCGCTGTCTATATATTTGAATCAGAAATTTTTTAAGTAGAATCGTATTTGTATTCTTTTATCATGCTTTAATAAGGATTTGATCTTTTATTTCAGTTTCTAAAATTGCTGCAATGCACTACGTCATCAAAAAATGAACCGAGTAAAAATATGCAAAAATATACAACTGCAACTTTATTCATGGTGCTTTGAGTCACAACATATATTTATATATATGTAGATTTTAGCATTTAAATTATCGTAGTATTGATACAAAAAATATAGCGTTTATTGTGTATATCGAAATCAATCAATTGCATATCTGATTATTTATAAATCACATCATCGAATATCGTTTTTTGAATTGTCATTCATTAATGATAAACTGTTTTTTTATACATCAATAAGAAAAAAAATATATTTTTTGTTTACATAATATCCAACAATAAGATAAGTTTGCAAATTGTCAATTTCTTTAAAATTTCTATTTTATAATTCATAATGTAAAAGAAAGAAAAAGAAAGAGAAAAATGAGAAAAAAATATTAAATATTAAATATATTTACAAAGTAAATGAAAGAATAAAAGAATAAAAAGAAATAAAGTTAAAATTTTTAATCAATTTATTTTCCGAGAATTAATGTGGTCGAAAATAAATAATATACTTATTTAACTCATATTTAATTTAGAGTAAATAAAGAACAATTTTATCTTATACTATACGTTTTTCTTGAATGGTTTCAAAGAATAATTTTCAATTCTGCTCTTTTTAATTATCCTAATTATACGTGGCGGAAATGACACAAGTCTTAAGATTTATATCGATTAGAGTCTTCATTAAGATATGTCAATCATAAAAATTGATTATTATTAAGATATGTACAACACATTTTCACAATATCCTCACATACGATATTATCTATATGTTTATAAATATTAATAAACTAGTTTCTAAATGCAACGTGGACTGGTTCATTAAAATAAAAAAAACTATCAAATAGGCGATTGAATAACATTATGTTCGCCCAAAAAAAAAATTCGATATTTCAAGAAAAAAATTTCGAAAAAGATTTCAGGTATTTAAATGTGACAAAATAAAAAATAAACTGAACTTGAAACTAAAACATCTTCCAAAAGAATAAATGAAAAAGAGGAGTCATTTTTACAAACATTATTTGTCAGAAATACATTCGATCGATTTAAATTATTAGTAATGTGTTATTTTAACAAAATAAAATAATGTAATATAAAATATATTTATTCTAGTATAAAAAAATATATAGACAGATCGAAATTGATCACGCATTCATATCACATGTGTGCGACTGTCAAAAGCCATTCATTTGATGTAATTATCAATAAAAAATATCTTTTACGATAATTACAAGAACAAATCAACTTGATTCGATATAAATATTACCAATCATAAATCAAAATCTAAATAATTTTGATTTCCAAGTACGATTATATATTTTACTTGTTAAGACAATCTCAATTTTTTTTTTTTGCAACAAAATAAGAAACGCGCGAAAACGTTGGTGCGTACGCACGTATAAGCACGCACGCATGCGGCTTTCGTAGTTATCACGCGTATCGCTACCTTTTGTGCGTCGCGCAAATCCGCGACGAAGGTGATTGGCGGAGCGGAAGGTGGGGCATGTCGAGAGCGTAAACAAGCGTACACGCATTCCGAAGGACGAGGAAGATATATATTCGCGAAAGGAAGCGGTGGAGGGGAACAAATGTAGAACCGGTAAATCGGAGTGGGGCGGTGAGACCGACAGATAAACATTATACGTGCGTTAGACTTCCACGTTTCGTTAGTTCAAAGCAGGAGCGATCGGCGTCGAGTCACAAACTTGACGCCTTTCGGAAGAAGAAACTGCGTTTCAAGCACGAGGAACCGTGACGCACGCTTCATTTTCCCGGAGCAAACGCAGCATCTTCTAAGAAAAAAGAATCATGCTCAAGAGTCATTAACACAAGAGAGAATCGCTGATAATTGACATTTTCGTTTGAACATCGAGAACTAAAAAAAAAAGTCATGGATCTCGTTTACATACCCGAGGTGTTTACTTATGGGTATTCGAGACATCCGCAGTACCGCGACTACGAGCAACCGTGGAACAAGGACTACTTCAAATGCACCAGCACCAGTGAGTATAGATTTTTTTTATTTTATTGCATTTTTTTAAATTCAGAGCTGACGATGTTTTAGAATTTATGTTTTAAATAAAATAATTATATTCGCATTGCGAAAATTAAATGTTCTGCTCTCCTTGATCATAATTTGGTAACTAATAACTAATTGCAGATATTATCTCTTTAATTATTTATAATTACTCAAATTACAATGATAATCGTAAGTGACATTTCATTTATTCACAGCGTACACGTTTCTTCCAATGAACATACATGATATCATTCTTGTTCTTTAATCACGATTTTTTTTGCCAAAAAAATTGGAGTAAATTCTTTTCCTTTTTTTTTAAAATAAAATTGTTGATAATTTTTAAGATAATAAGCGATCGAAAACGAATGGATTTTATGCAAATCGAATAGTAGAACGATAATAGATTTCAAAATCTTATTTCTTTCAGTGAAATATTGCAAAAAAAAGATGTAAAAAGAGAGAATTCTTAAGTCTCAACAGAGAATCTTAAATTAAGATAAAATTATTATCACAATATTTAATAATGAAAATTGAGGAAAAATTGGATATTTTTAAAAATTTCTCTTTAAAAAAATTTATTACTTTAATCAAAAAATAACTCTTGAATTGATATCTTTGATATTGGCGCGATAAGATCGGCGCAATATTATTTCACTTTGCAAAAAAATACAACAGAGGTACATCGCATAAATGATTAATGATGTTTACTACTGAACATTGTCTTTGCAAGCATTGTCGTGCAAAATGATTTTCCGACGTAAATAAGAGGTACTGAGATATATTATCTTGCAATCATTTTATTTAATTATTAAACAAAAAATATTTCTACTTCCACATATATTTTTTAAATTTTAAATACATTTTTAAATATAAAATTGCAAAATATAAAACAAAGTAAGTCTCATTATATATTTCTTTTTGCGAGAAGAAAATATAATGATGAGAGTAACTGACAAGTTATCTCGAGATAATATGTTGTTGCGTCCATCTGCAGAAAAATATCTTATCACTGATTAATATTGCCAGTATAAATCGAATAATTCGCATATTTTTCCGCATTAGAATTTATGAATTAGAAATAATATTATTGCTTTATTTATTCACTTAAATTCTTCCGAAATCAATTACTTGAATATTTTAAATAAAATAAATATCACATATATCTTTAGAAATTTGCCATAATCAACTATTTGATATCTATATAAAGATATTCCGTACGAAAGATTCATCGGATAAATACTGAGAAGAGAATATAAATACGTATCTATAGCTATATAAAAAGCATTGCGAAAGTATAAGACTTTCCAATGAAATCATTTGTACACGGAAATATTGCAATCTTATATTGTTATCTACACAATAGCTTTTCATATACAATAGTGTTATATACAATAGCTGTTTCTTCAAAAGTTTTTCAAAATTTATAGTAATTGAATAGCATTTATACAAATAAAAAATTATAAAAATAAAAAATTTCGAGTATAAATCTGAATTAATTATAATACAATAATTTTATAATATTTTATATATATTAATTAAGAGTTTATATATATATATATATGAGAAAAGGAATATGATAAAATAATAAAAATATATAATAATAAATAGTAAGAGATTTTTCTGAACGGATATCGTATTTTTACTGCGACTTAAATGAACAATATTATTGTATACGTCGTTAGAATAGATTAATAATATGAAAAATGTACATCATTCTCCTTCCTGCATAATACAGGTTCAAAATACTAATTACGTCAACGTCTGCCAATATATTCTCATTATAAAAGCATAAAACACGAAGCAATCAAATAATCAATATTTCTAATATAAATGATATATGATAGGAATAATAATTCTTCACATTGTCATATATCATTCTACATTACATGATAATTAGCACTACCATTTATCATATAGTGAAAAGACATTATTGCAAAAAAGTTGGTCTTTTTTTATCGCGAACCGTGCTTTTGCATATTATAAATATGCATTTTATAAATATTATTGCGTTTATTAATATTAATTGCGTTTACTAGCCATATGTTATGGCCATAATTATACAGATGGATTTTCTCATTTAAATCAGTCTTTGTTTATGTCATCGCGATCAGATAAGCGTTGCATAATTATGAAACTCAGCATACGGCGTGTATTTACAAAATGTATATCTCGATATTCATGGTCGTACACTGATTTTTTTATTTTACTTTGTTGAACGGATATCGTACTTTGATGCGTATGTTTGCTGTATCTCATATCTTCACGATCTTAATATGGACAAATAAAAAAAGGAAACCCCTTGTTAGCGTATTTATAAGATAAGTTATGATATGTCAGCTCAAATGAGATATTATTGACACAATCTTCGATATATTTCTATCTTAAAAAAAGTACATCGATTAAAAGATTAAATTTTATATATTACAAAAATAATAAGTAGAGTTGTATTGTTATTATCGATATTAATTGTATCAATTATATCAAGATTAGATATTCGAGATTAGATACACGTAAGAGTATGAACTTCGAGAAATGAGAGATAAATTCCTTAATACATCGAAATTCTCTCTTTTGCGAAAATAATGTAAAAAAGAGGAATCAATTGTTTTAAATAAAAAACATTGAGATAATATATGATCAAATAATTTGCGTTATATTTATTCACAATTTCAGTGCTAAACATTATACGTGTGTTATGTTTTCCGTGATACATACGCGTCTATTTTTAGCTGGTTTCTTCAGACGACTGACCCGAATCGCATTTCGGACCTCAAAACATCTCTTCTCGTTATCAATTCGTGTATTAGTTCGAAACTCTCAATTACATTATCGCGTAAGAAATTTGCCAAAGATCAATTAAATAGATTTATTTTTTAATACCATTTTCGAAAATTTATCTTCCAATCCTTCAAATGACTGCACCATTCTATATCCATTTAAATACACGGAGAGAATTTATTCTTAGAATTTACTCTGAAAATCATAGTAATCGTGGGACAATATGGTATAAGAATTTTATAAGAGTTTCTCGGATTAATATTTACAATAAAAATATTAATATCTTCCACAATAAGATATAAAATATGTTTAATTAATTTTATTATGTATATTAATACTTTTATATTGTGGTAAATATTTAAGAGAAACTCTTATATAAAATTCTTCCAATACCATATTGTCCCACGATTACCATGATTTTCTGGTCAAATTCTAAGAAAAAATTCTCCGTATATAATTTTAATTCGTCTCAATATGTTTACTACTAAAACTATTATACGTAGTGCATTCGAGTATTTTCATAGTCATGAGATGTGAAACAATTTCCGTGACTCAAAGCAAGGATATAATTATCTGGCGCTACAGGTGAGCGAGTCCAAGAGATCTTACGTTAGCATTTTTTTAAATTAACATATTGAATACCGTGACGGTCATTCGATGTTATTATACTGATATGTCTTGTTGGCGCAGAATGAAACCAATTATATTTAATGGATTATATGTATTATTCTGTTCCGTTTTAAATGCAAATAAAAAGCAAATTAAAAAGTAATTAGTATATTTGCTAAGAATTTTGTTTATATTTGCCATTTGTTTATAATTCCGTAATTTAATCAGACTTTTTTTAAATATGGTTAATAATGCAAAATTTTGCTTTATCTTGAATTAGGTTGTATTACGTATAGAATAAAATACAAAGATAAAGTAATATATTTTACTACATAGCGCTCACTGATTTATTTAGTAATAATTTTTTTAATTTTATCAAAAATTTATTCTCGTACGGCGATAATCATTGGAACACTATTGTGTTTTATACTTTGTCTGCAATTTAATATACGTAATTGATATAAACATAAAACATTGTATAAAACATTGCATAAATATTTACTCTCTGCGAAAGATTTCATTAATTATTATTAAAATATGCTTATATAAATATTTCAAGGAAAATTCCGCATTTTTCTTTTTTTTTGGAAAAAGTTTGATATATATACATATATATTTATATCGTGGACAAATGTAAATATAATTCAATTATTCTGTTCGGTTTTAAATGCAAATAAGTAAGACAGTTTTCTCAAGAAAAAAATACTTTAAATTTTTATGTTTCATGAAAATGAATTCTGCACATATGTTTATACGTTTATCAAAAAAAACTATCATGTATATATATTCACATTATTAGACTCAAATAACCGTGCCGAAGAGGAAATAAACCGGTTTAACCGGCAAGTTTAATATGACTTGTAAAATGCGCATTTATCTATGTGCATAGATAAATACGCATTTAGACGATTTATATGATTTCCATTAACAAAAAGAGAATATTTTTAATTTTTATAAAGTATTTCTATTCATAAATATTTCATAAAATTATGATATACATAAAATAATAATATACATAAAATAATAATATAGTAATATAATAATAGAAAAAAATGAAAATCAGCAGAAGATTATAATTTATAGCACTGAGATTTGAGTATGTATTGTGTATTTTAAAAATATAAAATTATAATTTTTAAGAATTTCCAATACATCAAACTTTCTCCCTCTTTGAAACTTTCTTCGAATGATTATTCATGTTTTATATATGTTTATATCTGCATTCGATTATATGCACATTATTGTAGAGAAATTTAATTCAATTTTACTAAATTATATATTTATTACTAAAAATTGAAAATTCTTTGACTGTTTATTTGAAATAAAAATATGTGAGCTATTTATACATGTAACTTTATCGATCAGTAAATTATACGTAACTCAGATTCAGCAATCCAATATTTTAGCTTATTCGAAATAATTAAACTACATATCATGTAAAAATATAAAATAATCAATGCATTTTAGTAATTAATAAAATGATGCAGTTAAAACTATGAAAGTTAGAAGTTGCATTTCATTTAAAATTATTATATATATTTAAAAGAAAAATGTATGTATCATTAAATGAAAGATTCATTAAATGGATTGAATAAAATTGGACATACAATTCGTTTTGTTTAGGAAAATCAGTGGGAAGTCAACGAACCACGCAGCAACAATCCAAAGAAAGTTGCCACTTATGCAAAGAGATGAAAAGGAGAAATTTAGCGGTTTACATAAGAAGTAAATCACGAAGTGATTCCTGTCACGAGGGGATCCATGAAGAAGAAGAGGAAAACGATACAATGAACAATGAGAAAAAAGTCGCAAATGCAAATCAAAGTAAATCAGCTAAATCATTATATAATACATAAAAAACAGAAATCATAATTCTTGAGTATTATATAAGGCAAGAGCAATAATATTAATCTTAAGCATAATATGCAGATGTAAATACGCGTGCATAATGACTTCAAGTTACTTTAATTAATTTTAACAATATTAATCTTGCGTTTACAACTATTACAAATCTACCTGTTTTTAAAGACATGTTTATATAATGCGATATGAAAAAAAATAGTTAAAAATATTTTTTTTACATATTTTACAAGCATTCATATACAAGCGCAATAATTTATTATGTTAATTAATTAGACATATAAACATTATATTTTCAAAAACGGGTATAAATCTTCCAAAAGTAAAATTAAAGATTAAATTAGATTTATGGCGAGGTGTATCATATAAAGAAATATTTTATCATCGCGATTGTTATCAAGATTATTAACAAGGACTATTAAATAACAATATAAAAAAGTAATGATAAATTATTCAATTGACATATAAATAATACTTGTGAAAATTGATCTGTTAGGTCAGATAGTTTTTTAAATTATGATTTTAAGATATACCTAATATATTGCTCTACAATTTTCTCAACATTGGTTGCATATTTTTCTAATTAAATATATTTTTTGTATATTGGATATAAATACATTTCTACGAATATACAAATATGCAAAAATGGATATGCAAATTTCTATATTAGCATATTGCTAAAAAAATCAAGTGCCTAAAATTAATATAAAAAAGATATTTTTTTATAAAAACTGTTTACTGTGACTTCGGTAAATTTAGAAAACTGCATTAATGTTTGCACGCAAATTAGATTTATATTTAAAAAAGCAAGAGAGCAAAAGTATGTAATTACAGATTTTAGGTTTGCTTGAGATAATTATTAATTATTATATTAATTATCTTGAGATAGTAAACGCATTTAGATACGCATATACCATAAGACTTGATATACTAAAATCTATTTCACAATTTAATAAAATTCTTTATGAAAGAGCTCCCTAATCGCTTATTGCATAAGACTGAATATACAATTCTGCATTATAAAACGTAGTAAGTAAAAAAGATATAAAGTAAGTTAGTTTATATATATATATATATATTACTGTTATACTGTAAAATTATATATGCAAAATGCAAACGGATATGCAAATTTCTATATTAGCATATTGCTAAAAAAATTAAGTGCCTAAAATTATATAAAAAGATATTATTTTTTTATAAAGAGTTTATTATATGACTGGTAAATTTAGAAAACTGCATTGATGTTTGCACTCCATAATTATAATTTGTACTTAATTATATAAGTTATAATTAAAAAGACTAACAAGATGCGACAAAAGGCGAATAGAATTTGAAGATTAGAATTAAGTTAATACACTTTTATTATATGTATTTGGATTGTAATAATCTATTAAGATTTTTGTCTTTAGAGATTATTATATATTACATATAACAAATCACTTTATTGTCACAAATATTACGTAGTTGCGTGATTTAGATAACTTTGCTTGGAAATATGAAGTATAAAATCGTTGGATATTTTATAATAAGAATGATAATAAAAATAAAACAAATCTAAAATCTATAGAAATGTGCATTAAATTATTCTCTAATATAATCCTGATAAACTTTATCATTTCCAAGAGAATAATATCATTTTTTAAAACTATCTAACTTTATTTAATTTGATAATCAATTATAAGAAGGTATTAAAATTAGAAAAATATTAAAAAATACTTTATGACAAACTCTATAGAATATAAGATCATGTAAGGTTTGTCTTATATGAGATAGATCTTAAAAATTCATACGCTTGCATTTATTCAAAATTACATTTTAATATTAGGTACATTCTGAATCTTCAAAAGAATGTATTTATTAAATGTATTTATTAAATGATAAATTTTTTTGCTTATGTGTGAATAATTTAGAACATATGAATAAAATAGTACTCACTTTTAGCAGCCACGTCAATACTGATTCACGATATGGCACAAAACCCTGTTTACGATTGTTTGTATTTTCTGTAAGTGATGAAATTACCTTCCCCAAGGTAAGCAAAGATTTATTGATAGATACGCCTTCCTGTATGAACAAAAATTAATGTATTATTAGACATATTATTTATATTTGAATGTGCATAGTTCGAGTAAAATCTTGTAAATTAACATTATAAAAACATACTCTTAATCTATCACCAGTAGCAGAAGTTTGACTTAATCTCTCGCTACCAGCTAAATCAACCAGATTAATTTTACTACGACGATTGGAATCAAGTGAGCCACAATCCAATTGGTCGTCAGAATGTGTCTGAGTTAATATAATACTGAAAATACTATGAGATCGTGAACTTTTCTCGTTCATACCAGTTGCAGCTGTGGCTCTTTGCGAGTTTCCCACTTTAAGCCAAGCCTAAAAAATATAAATAAAAAATTAAATTAATATGTAAAAGAAAAGATAATCACATTTTAGTATATCAAAACTATTATATTACTTGTAAATCCTTGTAACTCTGTACACAATGCTGACTCAGATCTACAACATAGGGGCCAAAGACAGGATGCTCTCTTACTTTAAGAGGAGCTTTTTTTGAACCATTATTTGTATTAGCCAGGAGATCGTGTATCTTTTCATTATATATTTCAAAATAACTTATTTCCACAGTAGTCGTAATCTGTGGATTGTCACGCGCTTGTGTAAATATTTCTTGACAGAATCTTGGTATAATACCAACTTTTTCGTCGAACGGCGCCGCACTTAAATGCGCAGGATCTATGCCCATTAAACTGTAACTTTTTCCAGATCCTGTCTGTCCATATGCGAATAAGCAGACATTGTAACCCTCAAAGGCATTTTGCACTAATGGCAATACCATATTATGAAAGACAACCTCTTGACTAGCATGACCAGGTGTAAGTGGATCGTCATATGAGACAAAGCAATGATCATACATAAAAGTGTGATGTGCAGATTCACATTCCACAACAACATTCTGACCATTCCCTTGCACAACTCTTGAAACTTTTGGATCATTTAGTTCTCTGAAATAAATATTGCAAAAAATAAAATGTTTGTCTCAGCATAACATTTAAAATAATAAAAAATAAATAAAAACAAATTAAAATGTAAAATTATTTTTAAGACAATTTAATATAATTCAATATTTTTTAATAATAAAACAATATATAAATCTTAGTTTTAAATTATTTATAGAAGATGATAGAAAAATGTATGAAAAAGGTAAACACTTGAATAGGATATCTTATATTATAATATCAATCATATATATATTATTAAATTATACTTACTTGGAATTTACAGGTCGGATGCGTATTCCAACAGTGAGATTACTACTTTCACCATCGTACATTGTTTGCTCTCCAACTACTATGTCATCAATTTTCTGAGATGGAGTTTCCAAATGAACCACATTAAAGCAGTCCGGAGTGCTTTGTAACAAAGTATGATCGCTAAAGTAACATTTCACAGGTGTTCTTGTAGCAGGTAAAATATTGAATTTTGTATTGCCACTAGGTGTATTCGTTGTTCTTGAATGCTTGGGTGTACAAAACTGCATCACTGATGTCTTGTCATTAGATGGGCCATTTAAAAATTTTGTTTTGGCAGGAGTCTTTAATTTTTCATTGGATGTAATATTATTACAAATATTTTCCTGCTTTACTACATTTGTAGATTTGACACATGGTAGTTGAACACTAGATGACTTATTTGAAGGTATTAAAGTCTCTGTTATTTCATGTTTTGACGATGTTTTTTGCATTGGGCAGTGTGTCTTTTTGTTTGTACTTTTCATTGAAGTGGATGGTTCAGATGAGGTAGGATACAAATCTTTCTTTCTGCAACGCAAAGATCATAATTTTAATTTGACAAGTTTAATTTAATAATAAAACAGACATAAAAAAATATCAAAAATAAAAATAGTAAATAAAACTTTCATGGTAGAAGATATATATGTATATATGTATATATGTATTTGTATACTTTTATAATTATTATATAAATAAGCAAATATAATAATCTTTATTCGGAATACTTTTTAATAGCATTATGCGATCTATAACTTTTATCTTGATGAATCATAACAAAAAGTGTTTAACCGTCACACACAGCATGTACGCAACGGCTATCCAGTTGAACAACATCAATCGAATTACTTACGATTTTATCGCGGGGACAGTGTTTTCCTTGTTAGAACTTTTGGGCGAAGTTGAGAAAATAGCTTCGCAGTATCCATGACTCGTAGATTTCAAGCTCTGATGAGACATTTCAATGAAAATCGCGAAAAAACTACACGAAAGGAACGAACTGATCGGTCAAATTTGATTTTTGCGGCTCTGTCATGGAACACGAAGAATATATGTAGATTGACAAACGACGTGGAATTTTTCTTCTCTATTTTATTACATCTTTCTACGCTCGCGATTGGCTGCGTTCTAGTTCCACGTTAATTCCGCACTAGTTCCTCAGTGCAGCACTTATCTGCACTTTGAAATCTTTTACTTGCACTTTTGACATTGTTGACGTCTTTTCAGCAGGGTCTACAATGGTAGCAGGAGTACAGAGTACACAAGAGTAAGCAGATGAAATAGGATTGTGAAGTACATATCTTGATAAGAAAACGATTTTTTGAAAACATCTTCAGAGGGAGAGAGAGAAAGATGCTTCTTTCTCGCTTCGCCGTGCTGCGCAGTGGGAAACGTAGGAGGGGAGACTGAAATGCGCATGCACATTGTTCTCCCACTCCACGCCCAGTCACGTGACGCGCTTTCCCACTCCGCATCGACGCCGCATTCCACAGCGCCGCAAGAAGATCAAAGACAATTCAAAGTCATGTGTCAAGACGTACTTTTCTTTCTCTCCATGATAATTAGGTATTGTACGAATAATTCTTTAATTAAAGCAGTGTTGTGCGATAACATTAAACGCATTGAAGCACGTGAAACGCAATTGTGAAGTGCAACGCGTAGAATAACTTTGATCAAAGTAATATTACAACTCGTAAGCAAGAGACATGATGTTTTTTTAGAGGCATCCTGTGTGTTACATATTTTAATTGTATGTATGATAATCTTATTGCTATTTTGCATTTTTTTCGAAAAATACATCTACGTTTTACACCATTTACATCTCTATATATAGAAATCGGAGAGAGTCGTTTATACGTGCATATGCGTACAATGCATCTTCGCGAAATCAGTTAATATTGATATCAAACTTTGCATACACATCTCTTTTCGCGGGTTTCTGTTTCCAATTTTTTTATCGAAATTTAAACGCGCGCATGATTTTTAAGTACGAATTGAAAATTGAAATATACATAATATTTGCGTACTTAAATCCGTGATATAGATTCGTACACTCGTCTCGTTTATTAATACAATAAAATAAATAAATATAAATATTATTTTATCCATACAATAAAATCAAGTTTTGAAGTAACTGTTGGCAACACTGCGGAGACAATTTTGAGGTTAGGTGGATACGTGGATAAATGGAGAATTATATCTTCGCATCGTTATCAAACATGATTCGGTGTACGTGGTTATGACATATTTTGTTGATAAAATTCGCGTTAACACAAGTTCTATTACCCGCAAACGTCAACGTCATATTGTCAGCATATTTCGATCGTAAAAACGGAGATCGCACAATGACGAAGACTAACCAAGAGACTTCCGTATTGCACAAGTGGATCTCGAGGATAATAATCGCCACGTTTCTCGTACTTATTTTTCTAAATCTGCCGACTATCTGCAACGCTCACGGAAATCACGACGAGGAATTGCCAAGTTACAAATATTCCAAGGAAGCGAACGAGATTTACTTGGATCAACATCACCAACATGATCACAATCATCATCATGAACATGCTCATGATCATCATCATGATCATGATCATGATCACAAACACTCTCATTCTGCGCGAAACAAAGTCTTGAATAAAAATGACATTATTCTGAGAGCGGTTGGATCCACTTTGATCATATCTGCTGCACCGTTCTTTATACTGTTCTTTGTACCACTGGACAATACCAAGCACCGCGAATCATTGCTCAAAATTTTACTGAGTTTTGCATCTGGTGGTCTGTTGGGCGACGCGTTTCTCCATTTGATTCCCCACGCAATGATTCCTCATTCTCATGAGGAAACACATTCGCATTCACATTCACATTCCGATAGCCATGATGATGCATCCGGACATCACAAACATGACATGTCCGTTGGTCTATGTGTATTGTTAGGATTAACAGTATTCTTAACTGTGGAGAAGGCAGTTCGCATTATTAAAGGTGATAGTCATAATCATTCGCATGTTCATGCTCCTCAAGAAAAGAAGATTTCATCGGAGAAGAAAGAAGAAAAGAAAAACAGTAATAAAACAGTTTTGAAGACACGTGAAACGTCATCTGGAAGTGACATAAAGATTGCTGGTTATCTGAATCTAGTTGCAGATTTTCTGCATAACTTTACAGATGGTTTAGCCATAGGAGCTAGTTACATGGCTGGTAATAATATTGGTTATGTAACAACATTCACAATATTATTACATGAGATTCCACATGAAATTGGGGATTTCGCCATATTGGTGCAAAGTGGATATAGCAAAAGAAAGGTAAAATATAAATCTATATAAAAGATTGAATCGTACAAAATACTGTATAACTGCAAGTTTAAAGATATAATCTGCAGATTTATACAGTATTTTATAGTTGTTTTCCTTAAAAATTTAATTTTGCATAAATTCTGCAATTTAAAAATCTTAATTATCTTGTTTACAGGCTATGATGTTGCAATTGACTACTGCTATAGGAGCTTTGTTAGGAACCTTTGTTTCTTTGCTTGCAGAAGGAATGGGTAAGAAATATATATATTTGTAAATTTAGAAGAGTATCAATTATCATGTTTTATCTAGTCTAATTTTATTTAATTTTATGTATTTTAGGTGATCTTGCAACAAAATGGATTCTTCCATTTACAGCAGGAGGTTTTATTTATATTGCAACTGTTTCTGTAATACCTGAACTTTTGACTGCTACTAAACTTTGGCAATCAGTAATGGAAATTGCTGCGCTTCTTTTCGGAGTATATATGATGGTTCTTATAGCAGACTTTGAATAAGAAACAGGTTTGTTACAGGATTCAAAATTCTGTGAATTCTTATTCGGTTCAGTTTATTCCTATTTATTAAGATCTGAAAAATGTCATTACATAAATAAACGCCAATGGAGAAGAGTAATGTTTTTAATTATAATTGTACTTTCTGCAGAAAATAATATATTATCTCAACCTCTCACAAAAACAAATATCAGTGTGACACAAATATTATTTAATACTTCAGTGACTGATTGCATTTATGTTATATTTCAACCAAAAAGTGAGTAGAATTAATGAAACATATTATAAAAAAATAACATGTGCAAGTATATTATAGCATTAATTTTTATATTGAAATAAAAACTTGGGAATTTTGTAAAGTATAAATATATATTATAAAACATTTTGCCAGATATCAAAATATCATCAAGATTAATACATCACAATTCACTGATACATTAATTTATAATTTACATACTATAAAATGTAGAATTATATATTATCTGTTTAAAAATTTATACTTATAATTATATACACGTGTTGTGTTTCTATATTTTTCAGACTTGATTAAAATATTTTTAATCTTTTATGTATTTTTATAAATTTAATATATGAAATATTTTATATCCTAATTTTATGTGGTTGTTTTTAAGAATTCGTAAATATAATTGCGTTTGTTAAAATTATAAAATATGAATATATATATTTATTATATATTTAAAGAAGTACTTAATTTTCTTATTTTCATATCTAGGGTACCTAAAACAAAAGTACTGCCTGAAAATAATCCTAAATCAAATAATTTCCTAGATGGAATAATGATTTTTTTAAATAAATAAATAAATAATAAAGTTTTATAAATGCACAAATTTGAATAGGGACTAGATTAATTCTTTGTTATTATTTACTCGTATAATAAAGCAGCTATTTTTGTAATTTTATAATTAATCTTTATTCTGTTATAATACGACCTAGATATGATATATATATTCTCTGTATGTTTGATTCCTCTTCCTCTAAAAATACCAAAATCATATATTTTTATTTATTTTGCATATATTTTTACTTCAAAGTAAATGTACTTAATATACTAAGTACTTCTTAAATTAATGCAGATATTATCTGTCAATAATAAATATATTTACAAAGAGATGAATAGTTGTGTGTGTGTGTGTGTATGTATGTATATGAGAATGTGATAGATTGTGTTAGTATATAGTTTTTGTGTACGTATGCTTCTTTAATTTATAATAAAATAAAAGCATTAAAAAATAAACACAAATTGGTCATGCTATACAAGATTATAACGTTCTGTAAAAACTTAAATATATATAAATTAATAAATAATTACTATTATAATACATTGATATTCTTCATAAAATATTTCGTACAGCTACAAATAGCTGTAAAAACAAAAGTTTTTAAAGTCAAAATCATCACTATGTTATTTAGTAGATAGCAAAAAAATTATCGATAATTATAATGAATTATTTTGCAGTTTGTTTTATATAAAGATCAATGCACATATCCATTATTGAAATACAGTGTATATTGAGTGATTGTGTAGGCATATGATGCGTGTCATGACGATTAAGTAGGAAAGTTGATAATATATATAATATTGTTATTTCATATATGATATTATATGTACTTGTTATTTAATATTCTATGTTGCAACTTTCTTTATTGATAATTAAAAATATATTCTAGAATATAAAATTATAAAACGAAATAACTAATCTAGATTAATATGTTCTAATTTGTGTGAACATAGAATATAAGAAAAATTTAAAATAATACATAAATTATAAAAAATTATACATGCAACATAGCATTTCAGAAATAAAGTATATTTCTTATCAATAGTGACTATTCAATAAATATTAAATAATAAATAACTCATTTTATTTAATTTTCCTATATACACTTTTAGTTAAAGCTTCAATAACTTAATTATATAATTATTAAAACTTTAATGAAATTTTAAATATTCTTTTTAAATATATTTACAAAATTTTACACAAATATCTATAGTTTTAACAAAACTATTGTGTTTCTAGATACTCTAAGAATTATAACGACAGTAATCGTTTTACTTCTTTGAGGCATTCATCAGCCTCTAACAAGGAATCATTGTCATTCCTATTCTTAGCTATCTTTCTTCCTTGTTGACAAGACTTTTTGGCTTCATCATATAAACCTTTTTTCAGAAATACATTTCCTAAATTTATATAGATTGAACCCAAATCAACCATATCAGGTAAATTTTTTCCTAAAAATATAATACAACATGTAGCACAAATTATGTAATTATAATTAACAAAATTATTATATTAATGTTACCTATTTTTGTTGCAGCAGATAAGTATTTGATTGCTTCATCATATTCTCCTTGCATATAACTAACAGTTCCCAAATCATTAAGTAGAACTATAGTCTGTTCATGTTCTTCGCCATTTATCTTTTTACATATATCATAAGCCTGAAGAAAATAGTTAAAGCTTCGCTATGTCGAGATTGTGAAAATAACATTCGCGCATACCAATCAAAGGTCATACCCTGTAATAATACAGCGTCCTCATTTTCAGAATCTTTTTCAATATGCGATTTTAAGTTTTCTATACAAAATTTATAGCCCTGCTCTGCTTTCCTGAATGTGAGTAAAATATATAAATATACATATAGAGAAAATGTAATGTACATTTTGTATAACAACTTATTATAGACAATATTACATATAATATATCATATATAACAAGCAATTTAACTATTTAATTTAATATATATATATATGTATTTCACCATTTTTAAGAATATAAATTTAAAAAAATACTACAGTAAATTAACTTACTTTATCTCTTTTAGATGTTCAAATACTTTAGCCATTTTTAAGCTTATATGAATGACTCTCATGTCATTTTCTGCAGTTCCATTTGACATTAGCCTTTGCAAAACTGATACAAATAGCTTCTCTGCTTTGCGATAGTCTCCAGTGTCAAAAGCAAGATTAGCCATTACATCATAGACATATGTAACAGCATCATAATGTTGTATAGTTTGTGCTTGGCGTAATGCTAAATGTAGCATTTTTTCTGCTTTAGAAAATTCTCCCTTCTAGAAAGACAAAATAAATATTGTTGTATGAGATTTAAATTAAAATATATGGATGAAATATGTACATAAAACATCACACGTTTAGTCAATATCCAACCTGTATCAGTAATACTGATCGCTTGATCATCATAATAACTTCTGGAACTTCTTCATCCTCTTCGATATCAAAAAGATAATTAAATATTAATGTTGGTAAAGATACAGCGAGAAATATCTCGAATTTTCCTTCTTGTGACTTATAGAAAGGATGTCTTCTCATCATATTGAGTCCACAAAATTTTATATTTTTATGTATACGAATATTATGTCGAGCATTTGATGTCAAACGAATAAAATTGATATTTGACAGAATGTATTTCGACATACGAGGTATTACATTTAAGCGGTGCATCTCTTAACAAGTAAAGATTTGACATATACATGCATCAGCTGTAATCAGCTGATCGACTAGAGATCTGTACTTTTCCCGCTTTCAGTTTCTTGCTTCTGATTGGTTATATTTCAATTTAATCTCAATCCTAATCCATAATCTGATACGGGCTTTAAGAAATTGATCAATCACAGTCGATTATTCCCCTCATTCTTGACTGTGATTGGTGAATTTTTTAAAGCTTAAGCTTATTACACCTGTTGTAGATGTTGCAATGAGATTGCAAACATGACATGTCATAATTAATTATGTGATAATTACAGTCATTATAGATGCTATAGTGAGAAATAAATATCAGCTGTATTCATTTACGCAGAACTTGAATGAGCAAAGTAGAAAGTGCAACTATAAAATGAACAGATCCAATGCAGACATTCGATTGCATCCATAGATTATATTTACTGATAAATGCATTCCTGCGCCATTTTATATATGCATATATATATATATATATATATAATTCTTATGTGACCTAAATTGTCACATTAATACATCTTTCAATAATAAAATTGATGAGAAATTAAATTCACGAGAGAACAAAAGTTCTTACTCAATTTTTCATATAGATATAAAATTAAAAATGAAAGACATATATGTGACATCATTTCTTATATAATTTTTAAAATATAACGCTGATATATTTTTCAAACCGGTAGTAGAAGAGATTATTACGAAACGAGTGTAAACAATTTCTATATGTAACTCCGCGACCAGCTGATACGTCGTAAATATAATTAGAATCAGCTATACCTATCCACACATATATATAATACATATCACATTATCAGGAAAAAAAACGAATGAATAGAAACGGTAAACAGGTGGGTAGCCTCCCTCCAAAAATCTATTTTAAGATCGTAGGTTCTCCCGAATCAAACAAACCGATCGATTATTTAATTTAACATCGCGCGATCGTGTATGTAAAAAACGTGCACGCACAGGTGTGCATACCTGCACGACATACATACACACACACACACATACACACACATGCACGTACGTGTCGTGCACGTCTCCTCGCGACCCCACCTCGTCGTTGAGCCACTGACGTCCCGCCTACCTTCGCCGTGCGACCATGTACACCTTGATTTCGTGATTCGTCGCGACAACTTTTCGGGGCTCGCGGGTATGTGACATACGCCAGGGCGTATCGCACAGCAGCAGGTAGGTGTCCGCATTTGGATTTTTCGCATACGAAATCGCAATCATGCGATTACCTCGTTAAGGCGCGCCGGCCGCGCCTAATTAAGACGCGAATGTCGGATGTGCATACCTTTCGATCCCAGATTTCCACACTACTTGCATTTGTGCCCTGAGAGGGATACCGCGACCCTCGTCCTTCGATTTTGATCCTCGCGTGTGACAGGTGAAGTCCCCGCAGGCGTTCTCATGATGGATCCTTTCCTCGTCAGTATACATCCTCGATGATACCTCTGCCGATCTCGGATTCCATGTCCGGACACTCCCTTTTAATTGCATAAAATCTGCCACATGTGTAACTCACGCAATCGGTCGTCATTTTTCAAGATATCAAATAATGGTGTGTTCAACAAGTTGTATTTTGTTCTATTTAGACAGAATGTTTTTGCTCAATAATTCATTAGTATTATTGCTGTTCTTGCTATATTTGTGTATGTGTGTGAATAAATCATTTTGTCTGATTTAATTATTTCCTTTTACAGTCATGAGTTCCGAAGATACAACTGATAATGCAACGGCAGCTGATTCTTCTAGTATAGCTATGAAGACTAAGAATTGGGTCCAATTTGAAGATGAAACGGGTCCAAAAGAAACTACAGATGTGGAAAGAAAAGCCAACAGTAGTGCACCTGCTGTAATAAAGCCTGAGTCGGTTATGGTCCAAATCGACAAGCTTAATAAAAGTATTGATCCACCTGATATTAATGATAAGAAAAGTAATGAGTATAAAGGTGCTGTGATAGCAACCGAATCCGTCCAGATTAATTTAGATAGATCAGGTTTAAGTCGTTCCATCACATCCGATATTCCGGATCTCAAAGTACAGTCTGATGTTAGAACATCGGAAGCCAAGAGTGCTTCTTTAAAAACTATTGATCTAAGAGATGTATCCAACGGTAGGAATACATCAAGCAATGTTGTGAGCACATCTATCGGAAATATTAGACAGGGCTTTGCCAATGGTGATACTATCGTTACTCTTTTACCAGTAAATACTAAATGGCCATGGATTACTCCAGCTAGGTTTAGACCAGAATTAGTGCCAGAGGAATTGATGGCACAAGGATTAACGGTATGTCATTAAAAAATTATTATATGTTAATTTTTATATTTTTTAATATGTATTATCTATCTTTATTATTGTAATATTCTCTTAATGATTCTTAATGATATATTTGATAAAGATATAACGTTTTTTATGCATGTATAATTTGTAGCTAAACATTTTAACAGATAATCCTTTAATTTTACATTAAAATTTAAAATTTATGTAATTCAATTTATGTAATTCTGAAATATTAAAAATATTGAAGTAATTAAATAGAAATATCAGCTCTTTTTTATATTTATTTTAATAAAATATATAAAAGTGTAATTAGAATATTTTAATAAAATAGATATATTGTAGCTCACAGTGGAAGATTATGTGCACATAATGGAATTACTTGTAAATGATGTGCGCTTTAACATGTACAACATATGCTACAAGAGGATTCTTGTCCTTTGGATATTCACCGCTTTTATTGTACTACTTGGTCTATTGTTCTCTGGTGTGACCGGTCTTACTTTATTCGGACTCGGTATCATGTGGCTGGTCCTGAACGCGGCTGCAATATTCTTTTGCATGTTTATCAAGATAAAGCTCAATCACAATCTGGAGAAATGTATGGCTCAAATCAACAAACATTTATTAAAACACAAAATAATATTGGGTTTGGATGATAGAGGAAAGATCTCCTGCCATAAGGTCAACTTGTGTTTCATATACTTTGATACTACCGATTGTGTTGTAAGTGTTATGTATATCTAAATTTATATTATAAAAATGTTCAATAATTGATGTAATTTAAATGCTCAATTTTTTATAGTATTATATATAAGTTAAATATTGTTCAAGAAAAAGAGCAATGCTTTGTACATATTTCTATGCTATACAAAAGAAAATGTCTATATAGACACAAAAATTCTAAGTAGCAAATTGATGTCATTAAACGTCCAAATGACGTTATTTTCTCTGGGAATTTCTCTGATTAATATTAGATAATGTTCTTTTATTTTTGTCAATTATATATGTATGTACAAAGAGCTAATATAATAATTCGTTTTTATAACAGAAAAAATTACAAGAAGTAATAGAAAGGGAAGAACGTGAAGGTAGAGTAATTGGTGGTGCTGGTGGTGATGACGCAAACGAATTAAGCCGACAACGAGAATTACAGCAGCGTATGGACATTGATGACAATGACATTGTTATACAAGGCAGCACTACCACAAGAATTTCTCGTAAACAGGTAAGCTATTGTGATCCCTTTTCCTCTATTATTATTCTGTACATTCAAAATCTTTTCTTTACATTTTTAAATTTTATTTTTTAATTTTATAAATTTTTTAAAATTGTTATTGCATAGAACATTTTTATATTTATTAATTGGAGGAACTAAAGATATATATATAAAGCCAAATGAGGAACACCATTCCTCTATTTGCAAATATCAATTAATATATAAAGTGAACCAAAGGTGCAATTTTAGATTTATTAATTTGAGTAATATTTAACAATGTTATATTTTCATTCAAAGCGTAAACATATCATCTTATTTAAAGTATAGATACAGTATAATGTGGAGTATATGTAGATATATAAAAATTTGATGCATCTTTAGTTCTATATGGGCTTTAATTATTATATATAAACATACTCTCTGCGTGAACGAGAAATTTGACATTACTGATTGCCTTACTAACTTATATTAAATGTTGTGTATATTATATTAAACTACCACCAGGGTAAAAACGAACAAGTATTCTGCCGTTATGTGCAACGTTGGGCGAAGGATTACTTACGACGACGTTTGGATTGGACAGTTGACGAGGAGGGTGGAAATCCTTCTTCGCCACGTCACTTAGCATCTGCTCTGTGTCCATGTCAATATATAGAGGAATGGTTACGTAATAAACCACGCGTTCAGGGGAGAGATTTTTGTCCCAGATGGAGTAGTTTTTTGAGAGATAGAGGCATTTGAATACAGTTGAATACATTTATTCTATATTTTTTATATATATTGTTAATGAACTACATATATGTATATGTGCAGTGCATATACAAAAATTACACAGAGGTTATTTTAGAAAGTTATTATTTAATTCTCTTGGATATGCATTACTATACAAGCATTTTAATATTTTGTATCAAGTATATGATGTTTTATATACCATTACTTATATTCTTAACTGTACTTATTTTATTCTCGTCATGGCAACATCATGAAGAATCTTATTTTTAACTTTATTACATTTTACTCGCAGTATAAAGACAGAGAATCAAACAAAGAGTTTGTTCTGAATAGTATGATTCAGAATATAAGACACTATTAGCAGTTTTCAAAGAAAATTGCTATTTACTTTTATTGATTTGCAAGCAACTTGAAGTATTAATATTTTTAGTTTATAAAACCAACTTTATATTTGATATTCATAGAATGTGGCCATTTTTATTGATATAGCTATAAATCGCACAATATATAGATGACAATACAAGTTTAAACTTAAGAAAAACATTTATTACATGTTAAAAAAGTTGTAAAGAAATTTTATGCCTTCGAAATTTCTTAAAGCTAATTTTTAATATGCTTGTAAACATATTGAAAAATTATTTTGTCTTGATTATTGTTTCTTATCATTATGTTTGTTGTATTATTTTAGAAATTATGTTTATAATTTATAGATTTTGTCATTTATATATGCGTTTAATTTTGAGTTATTTTAAATGTACTTAATAATTTATTTAGAAATATTAGCATGTACGAATAATCGATGCATGACAAGTTATAATCTTACTCAAATATTGAAATTAGTATGATTTTGGTGACTTCAATTTTCTATGCTGTAGATCCTGTAAATGTGTACTTCATGTTAATTATTGTACTTTTTTATAATCGCGCGAAAAATATGAATATAACTTTTACATGTCTACAGCACATTGAAATATGAACTCATAAAAAATTATAATTTTGATTTTTGATTATCAATAGAGCTCATGGATCGTTTTTTCGTTTCCAGATATCAAGACTCATCCACATTCCATATTTAATGCTGAATGTAATTTTGAAATGTTATTCGTGTAATATAAAAATTACATGTGTATCATATCCTAAGGATATACCAACATTTAGCATTAAATTTGAATACAAATCTGTATCTTATCAAAATCCATAAAGATATGTAGATGCATAAATGAATGATAATTTTTATTTTAGATTAACTTGATTAATCTCTATTACAACATTCCAGAAAATTGTTTTCTTTAGAAGATTAATAGTATTATTAAAATTTTTGAAGTTGATATAACTTTTTCATTTATGCTGATAAATATCTATTTTTCTATCAATGATTTTTCGATACTTTATAATTACATTTAGCCTGCGTTTACATTCCTTGATCATAGATATATTTTTATAGGATTATACATATGTAAAAGACAAATGTACCTGTAAAATGGTGAACATATTTTTAATTACGAAATAACGAGCTTCATACATTTTATATAACAAGAAGAACATGTTTCATAATGTTATTATGAAACATAATGGCAGTCAGATCATTATTATTAAGACAGTAATTTACAAACTATTCTTTGCTGAAAGGAATACAAATTACAAGAAAGATTAGAAAGAGTTTGCAGCACGTAGTTTCATATATAATAAAAATGTATAATAAACTAGGCTTGTGTTTCTTCACATATCTGTAGCCATCAGAAGATGTACGATATCTAAGAAATACCATTGTATATTGCATCTATTTGAATAGATATAATTGTACACGTTATTTATAAAAAATTACTTAAAAACCGAAAAAAAAATAGATTACTATACTGAGAAGAAAAGTAGATTACTCTTCCGTATCAGATCTGGCTATCACTGAATGATGATGGTGTGTGTGTGTGTGTTGACAGGAACGGGCGGAGTTGCTGTTGCTGAGGTATGCTTCTCGATGGGCACGTCACTTTGTGCGCCGCAGACTTGATCTGGTTATAGACTCGCAAGAACGTGATAGAAGTGTCATGGGTCTGTCTGTTCCACCGCGCCATTGTGTCTCCGCCCGTTGCCCTTGTCAATTCATTGAGGACCATCTGAAACACAAGCCAAGAGGCAAGTTGACGTTACGCAAATTCTTTCTAATGCCAGACTTCACTTGAATACTGCCAATGTGAAGACTGATATGTCATTCTGAAGATCACTTTTCAATTTTACGATAAAAATTCTAGAAAAATTACGTTGACACGTTTTTGATACTGCAAACAATTTAATATTGTATGTGCAATTTGTTATATGTTATGCAATGGCTCATTCAACAATCGTGTTTCTGAAATTACAATGTTGTAAACATAACGTAATGAGTGATTACGTTATCAATATATTTTTATTGTAATAGCTAAGATAAAAAAATTATTCATTTATATTTTTAGTACTTTACTTAGTACTAAAATTGTTTTTTTTCTTTTTGTTTTTATATCCTAATAAAACAGGATAATGGCGCTAAAAATGAAACCAAAAAACAGTTAACAATGGAAAATTCGTGCAAGTAAAAAAATTTATCATTTTAATAAATTTTTATAAATGTAAAAATACAGAATAATCAATATTTTCGTTAATAAAATATGTTTTTATTGGAGTAAATTTTTTGATAATTTATAATTATTGCAAATCGAGATTATGTATTTATTTTATTTTATTACACATTCCATATGTTAACTAATAATTTATGAAGATGAATGCCTTCATGCAAGCGCATGTAACGAAAAGACTATATACATATATGTATATAAATGTAGTACAATACTCCTTATATCTTTCATTTGTAATCTCATTTACATATAGCTTTGCTTATCTACATTGTTTTTTAAATGTATTTTAGGAAATCTACAGATATATTGTTTTTATTTTTAAATTTTATTTCTTAAATTAGCAGTTATATTAATTTCACACTAAATAATCCATTAAAATTATATTACATATATTATGTGTTTCACCAAAGCTTCTAAACATATTTAAAACAATAAAAAAACTTTATTTGTTCTATCCTTCTTTCTACACTTTTCAATTATTAACTGGGTCTTAGGATATACGATGTTGAAACATTTGGGCAAAATACTCGCTACATTATGTCAACTAAGATAAAATTGTTCACCATTTTGAAAGGTAAAATTATTTTCGCGATTTAAAGTATTAATAGCTTATATAATATATTACTCATTATTTTTTATTTTAAGATACAATTTGCGATTGTTTTTTGTGACTAATATAACTTAATTAAGGATATCATTATTACTAAGAATCAGGAGTTTTCCCTATTTCTTAAGTAATAATATGATAAATACGGACTAAATACTGGACGACATTTTCGTGTTCGATATATATTCGTTTGTTGCGTCTACCTCGCTTCCGAATTAAAAGAGACGGGCATTTTCTTTTTAGCTTTTATTATTACTTTTGCCATAAGTATTTAAAATAAGGCATTATAATTCTTTCAAAATTGTAATCAAATTTACTGTAAAACAAGGTATATGTGCATATATATTATAAATTAGAGAGAGTTGTATTTTGCTATATCAAGTATATATTACTTAATTTTAAAAACGATAAAAATTGCACAAAAATTTAACTTTAATATTGCAATTGTTAAAAATGTTAAATGTTTTAAAAAATATTGAAATTTCTTTAAATTGAGCGTTATACATATCTCCTTAACTCTTTATAGTGCAATTGTACACATGTAAAGGCAGCTGGTTATGAAAAAGTAAAATTATTAAGAGATAATAGTGAACATTACAACAGATTCTCATATGATAAGCTATATGTTAAATATAAATATTACTATAGAAATGTGTGTGATACATTATAAACATCACATTATCAGTTTCAAAAAATGTAATAGTTCTTATACACAAGATATTTCAAATTTACATATCTGTTGTCCGTCCTAAAATTTGTATAGATATAAGTTGTGTGTATGTAGTTTTAGATATATTTTTATATAATATATATTTACAGAGAGTATACTTATTGCAGAAATCACTTTATAAATTGTGTAATTGTGTGTGTACAGAATTATCAATTTTTATATGCAAAAACTGTAAAGCACTTTTATATGATTGTTAAAGATGTTGTGAAATAATAAAGATATATACATATGTCTATTTCTTTACATATAATGAGTTTATGTGAAATAGTACAACACGATGATCAAATATTAAACACTAACTTTTAAATTTTGCTGTTTAAAAATTTATTAACTTTTGTGTAACACTTATTAATATGTGTAATATTAATATTTATTCACTACTAATCTTGAGGGATTATACTTGCATGCAGCTGGACGGAAGATGATGAATCTCGGTATATTATCACATCCTCATATCATCAGCACATAAAAAATAATCTCTAACATTATGTAAGTATTAGAAAAAAATTTTTTTTTATGCTGTACTATGATTAAAGCAAATATAATTTTAATGTTTTGAATAAAAAAGACATCTTTTTGTGTTAACGTAATAACACAAACATATGTATAAAAAGTATAATTTGATTACAAATTGATTATATATAGATGTGATATATTTCTTCAGACTAACAAATGGTTACTAAACCTGGTTGCACTTAACATATCGGAGCAAAGGTGAATTTACTTCCAACTCTCAATTTATAATTTTTTTCATGCACGATTTTTGACATAATTTAAAATTCTTTTGTATGTTACATATGTATTTTATATTTCTGTCTTTCCTATCTTTCTTTTTCTTTCTCTTAAAATACTTGTAAGACATAACTGTAATATACATACATTTATTAATTAAAAAATAATTATATAAATATGTATAATTATTAATTAAAAGTTGTTTTTCTTTACTTCAGATAGATATATAATTTTTTTATTAAACGTTATGCTATTAATTTTGTAAATTTTAAACATGTCTATCATCATATTAAAAAAATTGTTTTTTATTTTTAATTGCTTGCTTTTATGTAAAAAAAATGAAACTTAAATGTGTTATATATTTGATCATAATTTGATATTTTTATTTATTTATTTTAGTTATTGTCACAGTTGTATGAATTTATATATACTAATAAATTTATTAAGAATAATATATGAATATGCGTATTGTTTGCATTTTGATGTTTATTTATTTTATTGATGTGTACTAATGAGATAACATAACTTTTTCAGGGTATCCACCAGGATTTACATGGTGTGCCTACCTTAATGAACCTATAAGTCGATTTGATATGGTACCAAGTTTATCACATTAAATAATTTTTGTCTTTACAGACTCCATGTAATACAGTATTGGTTAATGTTTAGATTTAAATTTATATAGACAGAAGAGCTATATATATCAAAATAGAATATATTGTTACATATGTACATAATGATACATATCAGGAAAAATTGTTTGTTAATTTTATCTGTAAATCTTTCGTTTTCATACAATGCATTTTTTAGAAGGTCTACTTAAAGTAGAGAGAGAGAGAATGAGTGAGAGAATTATACTGTTATCAGATTTTATAAGCGTATATATTTTTTATAATTCATATTTTGATATTATATAGGGCATATAATATAATTAATGTTTTTATTTTTATCTACTTTTGTTTTTATCTTTCTAATATTATTATTATATCGCACACAGAGATATATATAGTGATTTAATTTAAATTATTAATTAAATTATTATTTAGTCTCATGAAAATTCACAGTATAATAATTTTTTTAAATTGTGCACAGCAATATTGAGATATAAAAATCGTTAATTGTATCAATATACTTTTATGATATAATAAGATATAACTTTATATGTGTGTATATACATATAAAGATAGTCCCATGCTTAACACAGACAACATGCACTTGATGATCTCTATTATTCAAAGAGTTATAGAAAATTTCAAATAAAATTATCATAATTATTCAATCAAAATTATAAAACAATTTATATGTACATATCTATATATATATATATATATATATATATATATATACATGTCTGCAATTTTCGATAATTCTTTGAATGGCTGAGGCTATCACAGAGTTCCTTAATTTTAATTGAACTACTCTATATAGTTTAAATATAAAATTAAAAATAAAAATATAAAGAATAATTTATAAATTGTAAATTTTTACACATAAAAGAGCAACAGAAAATTATAACACATACCTATCCTTTTATATATCATTTACATATAAGCATTTACATACATATAATATTATGATAAATGTGATCATAGTTATTGCAGTATTGTACTATTAGCTAGGTATTAAGTTATTGTGCCTTGTCATAAATTTGATTGAAATATGGAATATTGTGTACAATTAAATAATGTAATCAATTCATGTAACAATGTGTAAATTACTACACCATGATCCACATGTTAAGAACAGAAAGAATAATTAACAAAAAATTATCGTTAACTATATTTATTATACTACTATTGTAATTATTATTTATTATACTACTATTGTAATTATTTAATTTATTTTTATTATTTAATGTATCTTATCTAGTTCTGGAATGTCCTTTTAATCACATTAAAAATATTTGCAAAATTAAATTTATTTATAATACATTACTTAAAATTATTTAAACACATTGAGTTTTTTATGTATAATAAATTTATTTGTTTTAACTAAACAGCAAAAAGAAAAGACAGAAATCAATTGATATGAATGAAATTAATGACTAAAATTTCATATGAAATAATTTGTTTTATAATTTAATTTACATCTGTACATAATGATAAATTTAATTGTTAAAATAATTAAATACAAATTATCTAATGTTATTTATATCTCTAATGTTATCAGAGCAGCTTCTGCCTGCTTTCTAATATCATTGGCAAGCCTTTTCATTTCCTCATTATCTGCTTGCATTTGTTGTTCTTCTTTTCTCAAAGTACATTCCAACTGTTTTAACTGCTGTTTGGTATTCAAATAGGTCTTCACTTTCTTGTATATATCATTGGAATTGTTAATACTTGTCAGACCATAAGATTCTCTTATACATAAATCATCTGAAATTGTATTTATAGAAATTTAATGATTCTTAAACAAAAGAAATATTTCATAAAACAAACTAATTATTATAAATCAACAATTTAATTCATATATACAAAAAAATAAAGATTGAACTTTCTAATATATGTTTTAGTATGTAACTTATAAAAAAATAAAAGCTCTACGAACATATAATATATAATTAAATTGGATAATCTTTGTATATTAAAAAGTCAAGCATATTTATTTAAATATTTCAAATACAATAAATATTGATCATAAAATTATTTACTTATAACTTTAAATGCTACATCATCCACAACAGCATTTTCCAGATCTTCCAACATATGTTCATGATTTGGCACATGAGGTCTTGGTGGTAAACTATTTTTTTTATTACTAAACATTTTTATAGAGTTAATATTAGCATAGAAATCAAAGGTATTAACTTTATCCTTCCAATTTCACAGTATTATTGTTGTTTTTTTTCCTTTTTAATAGGATTTCGTTCACTAAATGGGACAAAATTATTGTTCGATGTCGCAGAAAGAAAAGGCTACTTTCTTTTCTCTGTTATTATATTTAAAAACCGTGAATAATTATACACACATACAATTTATTTATGGATAAACATAACCATATTTTAATAAACCATAAACAAGAAAGTGTAAGAACGAGAGAGAATTACGTGAAAGCAGAGTGACATGTGATTGGCCAATTAGAGCAGCAGAAGAAGTAGATTTCTCCATTTTTATTGGTGAATTAAAAGCTAATCCGACCGATAGATTTTAGAACACAACCCAAGATTATTTCATTCGGTTTCTATTCTCGCGTTTCTCTTTTCCACGTAAAAGTGGTGTTCGTTGATGCTGCAGAGCGATACGAATTAAAAAACATCGTATTTATTAAAAAAAGTACGAAAATTTATATAAAAATGTATGTAGTCGAGTTTTAGGCTTCTATAATTTTTATCAGTTATCGAAATTTAAAGATAGAGATTTAAAATGTTTGGAACGTAAAGTTCATTTGTGATTTGTGCCCACGTGTATGTTCATTATTTCGTGTATTGGCTATTTTATTAAATTACATTTTTTTCAGATGCCGTCTGTAACGTTAAAAGACGTGGACCAGCAAAAATTCGTGAAGGCCTTCGCAGCCTTCCTCAAAAAGTAAGTAAGAAACAGCAATTCGTACCTAACCTAAAATCTCTCATGTGTCTATTTAATTGCAATTTTCATTCTATGTAATTATTTTTTATTCAAAATTATTATTTACAATTATTTTATTTATTATTAGTTATTATTATTAAACTATTATTTATAATTATTTTTTTATAATTATTTATTACCTATAATATCATTCAACTTATAAAAATGTTCTATCCTGTATGTTTCTGTATTGCTTTGTGCATAATTTATTTTCCAAAGATATATCTGTTTTATAATATTACATTGTAATAATTATACTATGTAAAATTTTAGAACTGGCAAAATGCGTGTACCAGAATGGGTGGACATTGTGAAAACAGCAAAATTCAAGGAGTTAGCTCCTTACGATCCAGATTGGTATTATATCAGATGCGCAGCTTTGGTACGTCACATTTATATTCGCAGCCCGATCGGTGTCGGCGCTGTCACCAAGATTTTTGGCGGACGCAAACGCAATGGCACTCACCCCAGCCACTTCTGTCGATCAGCTGGTGGTGTTGCGCGTAAGGCGCTCCAAAGCTTGGAACAGTTGAAGCTGATTGAAAAAGCACCTGTTGGTGGACGTAAATTGACTAGCCAAGGACGCAGGGATTTGGATCGTATCGCTGCACAAGTTAAGGCTAAAAGCAAAAAGCAACTTAAACTTCAAGAGACAATCACAATTTAAATATTCTTATTTTGTTTCTGTAACAAAAAATTGAAAAAAAACATGTAAATATCTAAAACTCTGTCTTTTGGAATATTTTTCAAATACACGATTGCGTGAAACTATTTAACAAAATATTGGGAGAATATGATCAGGTAAGAAATGATTAATTAAAATTCCAAAAATTGATTCAAAAAAATTCCTAAAAATTTAAATCTAAAAGTTCAAACTACAAACATTTGAAACAATTTTTTGCATATATTCTATATAATATCAAAATTGTAAGTTATAAAATTAATATTATTATCAGATGATAAAAACGATGATATTCTTTTTTCATTAAAGTACAAGTAAAGAAATAAGATTATTAATTATGAAATCAATTTTGTTGAAATATTCATATTTTGAGATATATGTGTAGTAAGTCGAGGATAATAAAAGAATCAATTAAAATTTTGATAAAATTTATTTATGCTTTAAAATATAAAATAAATGTATTACATGCGTTATCTGAATCTGAATTACATTCTAAAACAAACAAGTTAAAAAAATTTCTTATATAGAATACATCAAAACGTTTAAGATACATACAAATTGATATAGAGCAATGCAATGAATTCTTCGTATACTGGTTGTTTGCAATTGCTCATAAGAAAAATTTTATCACTGATATTATTTGACATTTCCACACGAAATATATAAAATTTATTACAAATTAATATAAAGTATTACAGGACAATGATCACTGCCATAAACTTGTTTCCTTATAACATTGTCGCATACTTTATTTTTTATTCGTTCTGATGCCAGGAAATAATCCAATCGCCTATATATAAAAAGTTTTATATAAATATATATTTTTAAAAATATATATAGTATTTAATTATAATTGAAAATTTTGTAGAAATAAAGTTATAATTTTTTATAATTGTAAAGTTTTGGAAATATATATAAAATAGATACTTTATCATTAATATATTTAATATAAAATTTAATTTTGTGATAACGATTTAATTATTACGTATATATAATATATAATTTTCCTAACATCTTATGAATATATGTAAAAAAAGTTTTTGCTCTTTTAATAGTAAATCAAATATTTCTACAAAATTTTTCTAACTACAATTTGGTATAATATAATTTTAATAAAGGTAAGTCATTTTCTTACCATCCAATGTCCTTGCCACGTGCATTAGCGAAATATGACCAAAATGTATATGCACCTTCTTTGTCGGGATACAATAATCTAAATGTATCTATAAACCCAGCAGATAAAAAGTCGGTCATATCGTCTCGTTCTTCCTTTGTAAATCCAGCATTCTTAGTATTTGTTTTAGGATTCTTTAAATCTAAAAGTTCATGATAATAAATTATAATCTTAATGTTACAAAAATAGTAATTATCGATAATTTACATTTGAAATTTAATGAAGTTGAATTGATAAAATAATGATACCTATTTCTTGATGAGCCACATTCATATCACCGCATATAATAACAGGTTTTTTTTTATCTAATTCCTCAACAAATTTCTTAAATGTCTTGTTCCATTCCAATCTTTTTGGTAATGTCACCAACTTTTGTCCAGCATTTGGCACATCTATTACATTATATTCCATTATTAAACACTAAACATTTTTGTTAAAATTTTAATAGAAGTTTAAAATCTTAAAATTGCATATATAGCTCCAATTCTTGTGATGACATTATAAAATATATAAAATCATATTATTAATATTATAACAAATATATTAAATCAAAATTTATCTAGTTATTAAAATATTAAAATACACAACTTACAAACATTGATCATAAAAAATTCTGGGAATTCTGCTGTGATCATTCTACCTTCGCTGTCAAAATCAGAATTGTTTAAGCCATATTTTACAGAAATAGGCTCTTCTTTACAAAACAAAGCAACTCCACTATAACCTGGCTTTTTACCTATTAAAAATTTTTTTTTTATTATGTGATTCATATAAAAATTGACTTATTTTGTGATTCGTATAAATTTTTCTTCAAAAATATTTCTTACTGTCCATAAAATAATGATGATATCCTGACAATTTGACTTCATCTGGTAATTTATCTTTGTCGCATTTTGTTTCTTGTAGAGCAACTATATCTGCATCTTCTTTGATAATATAATCCATTCCATTTTTCTAATTAAATATTAGTACAAAATTTATTATCAAATATAATACAAATATAATTACGGCAAATGAAGCAAACATACTTTAATAACAGCCCTAATTCCAGAAACATTCCAAGTACAAATCTTTAAATTGTGCTTCTTGCCTTCCTCATTTAATTTTGCGCACACAAAATCTATCTCATTCAGATTTGTATCTGTCTTATTCAGCATTTGTTTGGGTTCATTCTTTGCCTTTTTCACAGTAGATGAATCGCTTTCAACTTTTTTTGATCCCTTTGATTCAATTTTTGCCCTCTTTGGTGCAGGTTCATCATTGGTATCATTTACACGCTTTTTGTTAGAAGCTTTAGATTTATTCAATGCATCTGTTTTCTTACCAGATTTAACTTTGGGAGAATCAATCTAATTTTAAGGAAAAATTAACAATATAGCTTTTTTATACTATTATAGATTGCTAAGAGTATTTGTTGAATTAAATATATAAATGTAAAATTTTTAACTAATATTGCAATTATATCATAATTTACATATAAGAGAATACTTAGTACATTAATAATATTAAAATTTTATTTACATGTATAAAATTAAATATATTTCTGCATTTGTACTTATTGGAAAGTTTATACTTATTAAATGTTAAAGTAATATTATATATATCTTTATACCTTTGCCTTTGGAGTTCGTTTTGGTGGCATATTGAAATCTTGTTCTTTGTAAAGAGCAGGTACTGAGAAAAATATAAATAAAATTAATATTTTAATTAACTATTTTATTAGACACAACAGCTCTTCCAAATAACCTGTTTAATTCAATAAAATTGAATAATAATAATATACTCCAAATATAAATTTATTAATTATTTATAATTAAACAAGTGATCCGTCCTTTTGTCTGATTTTGTAAACTCAATAATTTTTTAGCTTAATCGAATAAAATAAATTTTATACAAATATATCTAAAAATTATGATTAAAGAAGCTTAATTGTTTATCTATTTTCATAACCGGTAAATATACATAGCCTAACTACGTCTCTAACCACGTTTATCGAATTTTATCTTTGTCTTCAGCAAAGTTTTATTCAATCGAAGAAAACATTAGATCGCTAGTCTAACACAATATATATATTTTTTACGGACCTTAAGAATTCCCGTGTACGTGACTGGAAAAAATGCAATCAAGCGTTCAACGCAGCTCCGTTTATTGAACAACTTTAAATTTAGTGCCATTTAGCACCGTTCAGCAATTTACGTCGCATTCGATAAGCCCTATGATAAAGAAAAAATACAAGATAAGAAAGAGAGACACCACTTTCGTATCATCCAACAGAATTTCGATTTTTGACTGACGTCATTTTTGTCCCTAGGAAAGAAACGTTTCTATTGGATGTCGGATGTTGGCTGTCAAACGCAGTGGATCCCTCGTTATTCGATTTCACATGTTGGCAGCAGTGATCGACAATTGACAAGAAGGAAGAATTGGGCAACAAACGAGAACCTGTTGTTCGCAGGAGAGGAGAGGATCGGGAATGTAGACACGTTACGAATGCCATCATGAGTAGCAAAACAAATCCGCAAATGTCAAATTCGTACAACGGAGGTAATTCCAATTTTTCATTTCACGCTTCTTTTTTATTTGTAAATATTTGTCTTTAATTTGTTGTCGTGCGCTCGGGAATAAAAACGCGCGCAGCATCCGTGGATAGTAAATTGAAAAGCCGTCTGCTGGGCGTCCTTATGGCGTCTGCTAAGAGTCGACTGAATGAATCTTTGTTCGACATGTATAGAGGCATATGTCAAATAATTTAAGACCGTCTGACGCGAGCCGCATGGATTGTAGTATCTTTGGTGATAAAATACAATTGCCTTCTTCAAAAATATTTTAATTACCAATAGTGCGATATATATAGTTTATATTTTGATATGTTTTATCGCGATAAAAAAAATCATTTATTTCGTGTTTTACACATTCTTTCCTCTTAATAACAAGAAATATATATTTATGGAAAAAAAAACAAATCATGAAAAACTTATAATTCTATTTTATATATTTTATATAAAAATTTAAAGATATTTAAAATATATTGAAAATATTTTTATTTTCTTCATAAAATTTAACTTATAATAATATGAAACTATTCTCTTAGTATATACAAAATTAATATGTAGATATATTTGAGAATATTAATTGTTATAAATATTGTTATAGATACTATTGGAAGGGACAGTCCATCAGCATTATTAGTAGTGCTTGCAGAAGTTGCATCTCAAACATTGCATTCAGAAACGAAGCATATTGATTCACTGGTGGCAGCACAATGTAAATCTAGAGTAGCGAGTGTAAAACGGAAAGAATCATGTTTTACTGTATCCCAACTTTTATCTATGCCTGTTTCCCATCTTGTTAAGCAATTTGCTATTTTTACAAGTGATGAGCTCAAAAGACAATATTCTTATACTTGTGCATTAGTGCCTGGTTGTCAACAGAAATATACCAGTTTTGCTAGCGAAGAAAAGGCGAGAGCCTCCATTAAAAATCATCTAGAGGAGCATTTAGAATATCTGAAAGCAGACAAAGAAACTTGTATGTATTTTAACAAATTATTTATGCACATTTAAATTCTGTATTGTTTTTCCTCATGTATAGATTTGTTTATTGGAATTCTTATAAAAGTATTCATAACAAAAGAATTAATAAAATTTTCTTATAAATGTTCTTACAATTTTGTATAATATATTTTGATGACAATATATTAAATTTGAAAATCATGAAAAAAATTTGTAAGTTACATATATATAATAATTTTGTATTTTACCTGTGTAAGATAAATTATATTTCATAATTTAAAAAAATCTTATCTATATATTGTTACAGATGATACATTTACAGCAAAAAGTATAAATCATAAAATTTAAAGACTAATCTACAAAGTAAGAGAAGTCGGACACAGCAGCCAAAAAAACCTCAAGAAACGATAAATAAGAAGAATAAAGATGTAATAATAGAAAAATCTGCAAATTATTTACGTAAAATACTTTTAAATGATATTAATATTAAAGAAAATGAGAAGCAGAAATGTTTTCAAAATTCGGAAAATAAAGATGCGCATAATTCCGAATTAAAGAATTCTGACCAAATGGACACTAAGGTTCTTGGGGATCATAGTTATTTTGAACGATTAGATGATAAAATGCCTAATAGAAAGGGAATATCATCTCTTAATAATGTTCTGAATAATACAAGAAAAGAAAATGTTAGTAATAATTATATATTAAATATATCTATTAATTACATATTAAATATATTATATAATATATAAAATATATATATATATATATATATATAAGAATTGTATTATGAAAATTAACAAAAAATCACAGAGATTTTTATAATACATTGTTCGAATTAAGAGAGTAAAGATCAAAAGATATTCATATGCATTTAAGTTATTTATACATAATTTAACATGTATATCTACATATTACATTTCATAAAATGTTTTTCAGATTGTATTGATGGTTGTTGGTAGCGATAGTGTACATACGAAAGAGTATTCTTCTATCAACCAGAAATTAGCTGAAAACACAAATTGTCAAGATTCTGATAATCTCTGCTCATCAGGTATGTTCTTGTCTCATACAAAATAAAATACAATATTAGCTTACAATTAATATTATTATGTTTAAATACAAATTGTAACTAGCTGTAAATATATAATATATATTACATTTATGTATGTACAGACTCGTGGTCAGATGAAACTCGGATAAAAAATACAGAAGTATCAACAGCTACCAAACCTAAAGGAAAAGCAAAGTTTATTGGAACGAGTAAGGAAGAGAGGGAAATGGCATTAGCATATATAGATCGTATTAAGAAGAAAGGCAATCCTTCAGGAAATAATCTACAATGTCGCATCTGCGATCCACCTCGTAGTTTCACCGCGCCTACAACTTTAGTATCTCATTATCGCAGTCATGCTGGAATAAAACCATACGAGTGTCGAATATGCAAAGCAGTTTTTACAAGAAGACACAGCTTGAAATATCACACGTTGATTCATCAAAATCAGACACGTTTTACATGCCTGGAGTGTGGAAAGAAGTTCAGGCATCCATCTCACTTTAGGGAACATCAACGTAGACACACCGGAGAAGCTCCGTTTGGATGTGACGATTGTGGACAACGGTAAGTAGGAATCAATTAGTCTTTTAATATTTAAAATACTTATATGGTTCATTCTCATAACACACATACATACATTGGTTTAAATTAATTATATTAATAAGATTTAAATTTATTTTTAATTAATTTATAAATCAACAATTCTCCGGCTTTTTCTTTCTGATTTTATCTGGAAAAAGAGAGAGATAAAGAATTAATATACAAGTATTGATAGTTTTTGTATATAATATACTATTTTCTATACCAGGTTCAAAACAAGAAATACCTATAAACGTCATTTAAAAACACGACACGGTAAAATTCTCACGACAATCGGTGAAGTTTTGCATCTTTCCGAAGAAGATTTTCAAAAGGTTCGGACTAATCGAAGAAAGAAAGATTGTGTCCCAGAGACTGCAATAAATGTCGATAATATCGAGTCCAATGTAATAGTAGATTTTGAAAATAATCATGACAAAACGCAATATGTAACAAATTCAGTAGAGGAATATGTTCTGAAAGAGAATATTGAGGATATTAATAGAAATTTGGAAACAAAAGACACTATACAAATTGTTGACAAATGTCTTGAGAGTTTTGAGGTTTGTTCCGAATCTCAATTGAATAAGACTGATGGTATAGAGACTGAAATAGCTATAGACTGTAGATATTCCAGTAAGAATGACAGAAATGTCAAGGTGGAACGTATCGATGGCATAGAAGATGGCCTGCTACAATTAAAAAATCCTTTTACGATAATTTAAAAACGACTAATAATGTAGAAAGTCACATCGTTTATCAACATGACATTGAAGATCAGAATAAAGTTTATGATTGCAGTAATAGGATACAGTGGCTTGAATACTCTGAAGTGAAATGTAATAATGAGACTTCAAAAGAAGGAGATGAAGATATAATGGAGGAAAAGATAGATCTTTCAGAAGAGCTATACAGCAATAAATTACATGTGTTGCAAGAATCTATACACAATTATCACAAGATAGTATATGACAGTGATACACAAGACAAAACTGCAACGTACGTGCATTTAGAAACTGCTGAAGAAGCAGAAATAAATTCTGATGAAAATAATCAAACATATGATGAAAAATATGATGGGCACATTATTATCGCATCAAATGATGAAAAATCTAAGAGTTATGCAGATGCTTATAATGTTGAAAATAAAGAATGTGTGAAAAATGACATTACTTTTTGTACACAGGTAACAAATACGGATGTTAATATTCTGCAAACCTTTGACGCTGTTAAAGGAGAGATTATGTCACAAAACCAAGATGATATACTTCAAGAGAACGAATGCGTAAGTGAATCTATTGCGACTGATTCGGTAACTATAAGTATCTCTTCAAACAATTCTGTTAAAGAAAATGAGGAAACTGATCAACAGCAAAATAACCACTGTTCATATATTCGTACTGATCAGTTAAACAGGATAATCGCGCAAAATAGATGTATAAACATACCTCTACATCAAATCGAATTGTTTCGCGATAAACAAAATCACTTGCAAGCGAAAGGGGATAATTGTAGGCAAATTCGAATTTTAGACGGTAACTTACAAGCAATTGATATAAAGCAATCTGATAAGCAAAATACTATTTTGTTCGTATCTAATGATCATTTAAAGAATGGCATTTTTCAAATTGACGGGAATAATATCAGATACTGTCAAAGTTCTAAAAATATGGATAATTTGCAAAGTTAAGTGATAATAATATCTGTACAATAAAATATGTAAAGTTTGATATATATATATATATATATATATATATATATATATATATATATATATATTTAATCACATTATTATATTTTATACTAATGTAGCAGTGTTAATAGACATAATCGATTGAGATATGCAATAAAATCATTTATAATATGTAACAATTCTGAAAAAAAAGAAACATGAAAATAATGAAACAATGCTACATTTTCTAATTTGTGTAAATATTTTCAAAAAGCAAAACTTTAGATAGAGATGTATAACTTTCTCAGTTTTATTAAAAGATACAACTGTTTAAGAAAATGATATAACGGTCTAATCAAAACATCCTTATAATTTAAATTTTATGCATACGATATTATTAAATAAAAGTTAACAGTGTAGGCATTTATTTGTTTTACAATATAAGAATTTATTTTTACACACAATTATAAAAAAACAAAATGTTACAATTATAAAAAAACAAAATATTACATATTATATATTATTTGCATTTACTAAGCCTTTGGATTTCATTTAATACAAAACATAATTAAATTTTTTTACAATTTTTAATTTTATTCTCGATATGTACGAAAATTATTTGAACTTGTAGTTTTATTTACTACTTATTAGATGTAGTCTTGCTAACTTTTATGTTTATTAAATTAATCGTAAAAATATGGATGTGCCAAATATATAAATATGTTACATATCAATTATCTATTCTCTTAATGATTTTAAAATGAAAAATCTTTTTATTACAAATATAAAAAAGTATTTTTATTATTTAATTTATATAAAATTATTCAATTTTCTCTTGAATTATAAATAATTATAAAAAATATGTGCTTATAAATATTTTATTTTTATAATAATTAATTGAACTGTTTTATCTCTGCTATCTTCAATTATTAAATAGAAAAAAATATGCACGGAAATAGTTTTACATCTTACACCTGTACAATAACTTATAAAATAACAAATTTCATACTAGTTAAATAAGAAAAAAATATAATTTTATAATAAAAAATACAATATAAACAATGAAATATTGAAATTGTGTGAAAACAGTGCAAAATTTATAAAAATCTGGATCTGATTTTTTAACAATCTTCAATAATTTTTTTGTACTTTGAGTCGTCTTCCAAGAAAATTTATTTTTTCGCTTAAGAGAAAATGTTTGCTTAATATTAGGTGTATTTTATACGTAGATTGTCTAAGAAATGATCCAGATAGATTATGTATATAATTTTTCTGAATAATGATATATTATCTGAACGAGCACATTATATATACTTATGTGCTAAATTATATAAATAAGTTTGATTTATAAGAACAAGCAATAATTGTTTACAATGTTTATAATTGCTTGTGTATGGTTTTCCTACCTGAATTATGTACTATTAGTGTTACAATTTTCTGCAAGAAACTTTTTCTTGATCTTTTTGATCCATCCATATAAAACACATCGTTACTTGGAAATATTTTTCAAATACTCTGCAATAATTATCATTTACGTGACAATTTAAAAATTTCTACAAATTAAGCTTTAATGGTGTAAATGAGACACATACATATAACTCATATTTTTCATTAAAATGTATGTTCTCTGCATATGATATATTAAAAATAATGTAAATAATATATAAATCTATCACAGTAGAATATAATATCTAATATTACAAACATTTACACAGGATGCGGTAGGATAATCACAACACAATCACGAACAGGGTAATCTTTTGTTGCAAAATTAAATTGAATTATAATTAATTTAATTTAAAAAATTTTTTTAAATTTAATCCACTGCAGTCTGTTATTTAGTTATACTGCTACATTATATCATTTTAATTTCTCACAATATATTACTGTTTAATTACATACAACACATATCAGTAGAGTAACACAATTAATAATTATATAATAATTAAAATCACTTTTAACATCGACTGTAAAATAACAACGTATATTAACTGCAGCATCCTAGAATTTAACAAAATATTAACAAAATAGATTTATATTCAGAAAATACATTTTTATCATAGAATAAACTGTGCCTTCGAGATTAAAGTACATAAGAAATAGAAGTAAGATTAAATTATAAAAAGTAACTAAAAACATAAAGTTGAATGTGTTTATGAATTATATCATACAACTAACAAGTAATTTAAAAGTTATTTGTATTACATACTTATTTTAATTACAAAAAATATATTTTTAAACATACATGCGCGTATGTAGACAAGAGAAAAAGGGAATACATAGTGAAAATTATTTAAGAACGTTCATTGCTATGGAAGAGATTTCTTTAATGTTGCACAATTCCAATTTCAATCTTGATTTTGTCTATAATAACAGCGCTCTGGAACTGCGAGCCTAATTCGTGCTACCGCGTTATATATTGATTATAAGGAAAAATATCTTACTATTTACATGATGTATTTTTCTACGTATTTTTTGTACTTATAAATAAATTTCTAGAAATAATCTGTCTGATTTTACTCTAATTTCCTGCGACTATTTTCTACAATAAAATCGGAAATTAGAACAATTAATTAGTCCTAAATGGATACGTATGGATCAAGTCATAGTTTTTTAATCAATAAACTTGAAAAAATTATGTTGTTTGATCGTTTCCATTTGACAGCCTATTAACATATTATATTTAAGAAAAGACGAAAATAAAATATTTCGACTTTTCTTTTTAGAAACCGTTATCTTCAATATTGGAATTGATTATTTCAAACTAAAATATTAAATATATTTTGATTTTTTACATTGTAGCCTTTGTCTAATGTGTTAATATTAGAATTTTTATTTTTCTAAATGCTGAAACATTTTTTAAAAAGTTTTTTAATACACTTTTTAACAAGTTTCAATTATTATTATTTTTTTTTATAGTCTTGTATTAAATAATTTTCATTGCAAACTAATTTGTCTACGACAAAAATACTATCCCATAGACAAACCTTAATAATATACTGCAAGCTGTAATTACTACAATGTAACTAATTATCCTCCGGCAAGAAAAATCTGTTCTTAATTCATCAGACCATCAGACCATTAGACCAAACAGAATCTATTACATTCTTCTTTATTCTTCTTTTTAATTTTAATCGATTTTTAATAGATCCTTGATAATATGAAGAAAATAAAAATTATTTCAAAATCTATTTTCGTCGCTTTGCTCGACAAATCTTTCGCGATAAGCTTTGTCGAGTCAAATCACTCCCCCCTTAGAAAAAGAAACATTTATATGCATATTTATTATCCGCCAAACCGGCGGATACTATTCGCGACCGGTTCGTGCTCGCCAACGGCAGCACGCTTGGCCGCCGAAGTTACATACCAGCCGTCCTGTTGCTTTTGTTCGGAGAACGGTCAGAGAACAAGGTCGCGAGATAGGTAAAATGGCAGCCGTTGAGCGGCTCGTGTCAGGATAATAAAACGAACGTGCAATATACATATGTACGGTCGTCTAGTCGTCGGCGTTCGACGCGATTCCGCTCGACGATGACGTATCGCCTGCCTACTCCAGATATTTTCGCATAAATATCTGTCGCGATTTTTTTACATCATTCACAGTTCGCGAACCGAGTGAGAATTTAATTACAACACAGGTGTCTCTACACCGGTTAATCATTTTCACGCTGTTACACGACTCGACCCCGTGACATTGCGTTCAAGATTCGTATCTGTATCGACGTTTTCTTTTAAAAAACGGAGAACGTGACTTCGATGAACGAATTCTCGTTGGTTTTGTGAAACCAGAAAGATTTCTATGAAAAGAGGAAAGACAGATACAATTTGGATGAGATCCTTGCATAACAGACTCCTGTGTATTCTATCATTTATGTAAATCGTACATAATATATATATTGTGCAATTTAAATATATATCGTATATTAACATCCTCTATATTCTATATTCAATGAAAAAAATATATATAATCTAAATAGCGCGTTAGAGCTCTATTAATACTCCAATAATATAAGAGTTATTAACACAAATACATCAATGTTCTCGAGAATACAACAGTGAATCTTGGTAGAATCTCGAGAAGTAGCGATGCTTGTCCAGGATACGTAACTCGTAGTCATGCAGCGTTGTTTCTTCGAAAAGTCTGACGACACAACGTGTTTCCCATCGCCGGTACATATTATACGTGCGCGTGGGACACGCGCTATCGGTGTAAATATTGAACAAGTGACGTAATTAAGTTGCGCGAGGCATGATAATAAGCGGGGACGTCGTTACTTGTCGGCGCGCCTCGCGATCAGATAACGCGACATACGAAATTGTTCCTCTTTTCGAGGTCGACGCACCATATTCGTATCTGCTGAAGAAGAGCCTGATAAAAGATTCAGTTCGAATCTGTCATCGTTGCCGGCTTCTCGCTGTGTCCTGAATTCCCGCTGGCGGAAACGATCGAAATGGAGGTAAGTCTCTCTCTCTCTCTCTTATTTTCAAAACATTTACATACTTCGACAATCGGAATTTCTTCGGAACAACAATAATATACTCCTCCAGCTCTGCGTATATTATGAAAAATTGTTGTTTGAGAGAGCTGCCTGTTTGAACTGTCCTTCTTGCGCTTCCTGCAATTTAAAATGAAATATGTGAGTATCTTGATTGAAGAATAATCGTGATAAAAAAGATCTTAATCTCCAGTAAGAGAATTCTGACAGTTGCACAAAATGTGAATTTGTAAAAGAAAGTACAGATTCTTCCATATTCGTTTCATAATTCGTTTCATTATATTATTATATATTCATTATCTATAATATTACTTCTAATTTTTTTCTTAAATAAATAAAAAAATAGATAAAAATAAACGTATATATATAATATATATATATATATATATATATATATTATTGAGTAAAGAAAAAATTAAAAATATTTTTGGATATAGAACGAATTATATAAATGCAATATTTATACTATTTCTTCAATACATATATAAACAAAATATTAGAACAATACAATATATAAAAATTATTAATAATATAAATAAAAATACTAATATTATAAAAAGCTATATCTTCAAAAAGCTGGAATTCTGTTAGATAAGAATTAATTTCAGATCATAATATTACGCGTGTAACATTATGAGATGCTGTGTTTACACTGATACTATTTATCAAGACACCTGTGTGACGTTAATATCTCGTATCTCTCTTTACAACTTCTAAGTAATTACTAATTTAGTACTTTAATTAATTACGCAAACGATGCCAATGCGCGTCACGTTGATTTGCATTCATATCACTAAAAATAAGTAATATAAGCAATTACATTGCAATTTTGAGATAATATATATATATAATAAAAATATCAGATTAATAAAAATTGTTTTCTCAAATATTAATTAATATTCTCTAATTTTAACTGTTTATTTGTTTATTAATATTATTAAACGGTAATAAAGTAGCTTTCATGTAAGAGAAGTGTTTCTTCTCTGGAATATTATTTATTTTTGCCTTTTTTCTCCAAATATGAATCGTTTTACAAAAATTGAAAGCATCATTTAAGAATTGAAAGAAACAGATGTGTCATCTCTATTCGTAAACTCACCAGTTCCTATTTATATGCATATTTTTGATCTTATGCTAATTAGCATTCCTCCATGAATACGTGTCCCAAATTGAAAATGTATGACATGTATAAGACTCCAGTCTTCTGAGATCGGTTGATTTTAATCGTAATATTGTACGCAAATCTTCATTCTTCTATAAAACTTATTGCCAAAATGATATGATCACGTTTAACATTAAATGCAACGTATGTAAATGTAAAAATCCATCTCTGAAAAAAAAAAACAAATAAAATAAGATTAAGTTCATGTTTGTCGATCTCAATCTTACAAATATATTGCATATATTTTATAATTTATAACGCTCGAAAAAAAATTAACATAATCAAATTTTAATAAAGGGAATCGTATCTGCCGGTTCTCGCGAAGGAGTCGAAAATGTATATCGAGGGAAGAGCGACGAAGAGTGGTAAGAAGACTCGTGGCCCATTTCTTTTAGAAAGGAAACGGTGATTACAGTTAAGCCGTTGCCTCCATCAGTGCTTCGCTCAGTTTTCTGTGAACAGCATTCCTGATCGGCATTACACTACAGCTGCTTACCTGGAAATTCTTCCGAGAAGCTCGTACCGGTTGTGTGTGTTTATATTTCCTTTTTTTCATATTTCTTCGAGTTCTCATGTGCCCTTTTCATCAACTTTTAGTAGCAGGTTCCTTGTTTGAAGAATACGGAGATACGATTAAAAATTTCCGGAAGCGAATGATTACAGTTGATTGATGAAAGCAAAATTTATATATAGCTTTTCTTTGAAATTATAGTAAACCTATGAATAAAAGATTAAAAATTAATTTTTTCTCTGAAGAGAAAAAGAGGAGATAAATAAGACTAAAGACCGAAAGCATGATAAAACTGCGGATGATTGTGAATTTAGTATTACAATAAATAAATACGTACATCTTTGCTGACAAGATTGTAATTTCAGTTTGTGTCCTTTTCAGTAAATGTAACTTTTTTTATCTGTCTGCCATTCGTCATTTTGCAATGACGTGTCTGGCAGCTGTATAGAAACGCGATATA